CAAGATCAACAGAATAGTCGGCATTGAAACTAATTTTTGGCACTCAGACAAGAACTAATGACTATAAACGACACTTCAGCTTTTTTATTAGTTTTGAATTTCATGTCAGCGATATAGAAAATATCTGTGCACATGTAGAATATATCTGTCGCAAGGTATAAAAATTAGTTACAGCGCTTCGGGATAGCTAAGTTTCGACGATCTAATCAAAAAGGTCAATTGAATTTTCAATGTTTCGAAGCAATCTTATCCCAGTCATTTTTTTTCTATAATGAGGGTCTATAAAATCGTCGAGATGGGAGGCGAGGGGCTATAGTATGTTCTATATGAACATAATTCGAATTTTCAACAATTAGTTATTTGACGTGGATCAAAACTATTATTTTGGCTATCGAAAACAAAAAACATTTTCGGCTATCCGGGAACGAGTATATGTTTTGGCTCTTCGGGATCAAATGTATTTTTCAGCTATCCGGGGTTTGCTTTCACGCCTCTATACTAACCTACTTACAGTCCAAATCATCAAATTAAAATCAAGCTTTATAAAGCTTACAACAATTACAAGTGGGCGAGTTACTGAGCCGAATACCCAGATAGCCGAAAAACAGTTCGATCCTAAAAAGCCAAAACTCAATGTCGTTCCCGATAAAGTTTTCTTTTGTTCCTGGATAACCAAAATTTTTTGTTCCAATAGTCAAAAACTTCATTTAGATCCACGCCAAAAATTAATCGCTGAAAATTTTGTATGCACCTCGCCTCGCATTCCGAGTATTTTATAGACCCTCAGGATAGAAAAATTGCATGATCGGAAAAAAATGTGCTTTTAAGTATTGACAATTCCATCGACTTTTTGTAATGGATTGGCTAAACGTAGCCCCTGACACGGTGTAAGGATCTTATTTTTGACAAAATTTTAAGACGGAGACAATTATTTGAAAAAGTTTTGAACACTTTTTGGCGCCTGTTCCCGCCTTCATCTCAAGACCTTCTTACAAATAAGCTTTTATTTGGTTTTTTACTGGGTGGTTTTTTACTGGGGGTTTTTTACTTGTGTTGAACAATTTCCAAAAATTAGTTTAATGTTTTCAACCAATTGCTCTAGATTATTCAGTTTTTTGATGAAATGCAAAACACTGTTATGTTTTTTTTTACAAATTAAAATTTTTGCCATTTTGTTTAAATTTGCGAAATGAGCGCCACTTTTTCTAAAATTAGTGCGAAATTTAGATTTCTGTCTGAGCAAAATAATTTTAGTTTCGGCCATTTAAAAATAAATCACCCGAATTTTTTTTTCAAAAGTTTCAATCGCAGATTTGTCGAGCAGAATAAGGTTTCTAGACACCACTGCAGAGGATTCTTTAGGTTGTTCCTTCACTCGCGTGACAGTATCTAGAAACTCATCAACCTTCTCAGACGTGATGGATTTTATAACCAATCCCATTTCATCTCAAAAAAATAGGGTGGCGTCGGCTGGTTGGGCATAACTGTTTGGAAATGGAATATCGGGATAGTTCATTCCAACATGGCCAGTTACTTCTCCCATCATCTGCATTGACGCAAAGTGCTTCCCAGTGATTGGTAGTTGCATCATTTAATTTTCGTTGAAGTGCTTCTTCTTTGTTCTGTCCTTATGCCAAGACATGGTTTAGGAGGTCTATCCGACTGAGTAGAAAAAGACCGGAGTTTTTTTCTCGCACTTGGTTTCTGATACACTTGGGAAAAAAATCCACAATTTTTAATAATTTATTTAACGACTTAGATAAGGAACACAATATTGCCTAGCTAGACATGTTAAGTAGCATAAATTTACTGTGGTTAGTAGTAGTTGACGGTAGCTGAACAGAAAGAAAGGACTTTTTAGCTCAGATTTAGTAGTAACTACCAGTCAAATTTACAGATTTACCAATCAGAGTGGATCTTTCCAAAAAAGTGTAGGCTCATAGCCAGTCAAATTTAATTTTCTCATCAAATAAAGTTTCAATGTCAACCTTTTCTTTCAGAAGAACCTTTAGTTCTGAGAAGTTACTCCATCTTTCATGTGTAAATCATAGTATCTTTTCTTTTACAGTAAAAAGTCTTTTGCTCCTGAAGCTGTTTTTGGTACAAAAACTATACACAAATACCCCTGCAGGAAATCTTAAGTCACTTTCCTACAAGTGATAACATGATTAGGTCAAATAAAAAAAACTTGACCTTCATTTTTTTCTAGACTAATCATGTTAATTTTTTCTTCTAAATGTTCACTTTTTTGAATTGAATGTTAAAATTTTCTGTTTATTCTAATCAATCGAAAATTGTTTTGAATTTATTTTAAGAGAAACGGATTATTAAAAAGGCATTTATTCAATTTTTTAATTATTAGGAAAAACTTTGATACTATTTTTTGTACGTTATTTCCAAATTTATCAGAAAAAATTTTGAATTTTTTAAGTCTTTGTTAGAGTGATTGAAAAACCATTGTTGTTGGGATATTTTGATGAAATAAGGTTTTGTGTAGGGATATATAATAAATTTAACCTTTCATTGAAAAAAATTTTTTTTTGAGATATTTTCAGAAAGTTTTATTTCTTCCTTTGTAGTATGTAAGACAGCAATAATCTTCATTTTTATGCCCAATTTTTCGCTAAAACTTATTAAAACAGATCTGTTCCATAAACATGTATTGGTACAACTTTACTTTGTTTAATGCAAACGTCAAATTAACTATGAAAAAATCAAAATCATCTTCTTTTTCATCAAAGTGGAAGTCATTTGGAAACTTGCTTAGAAATTTAAGTCTGGTGTATTAGGTTTTAAATAGGAAAAATAATTTGGATTTTTTCATTTTCGAGAACGTTTCCTATGTTGTTTCATCTCGGGAATTTTTTGTTTTGACACCGCGATTTAGAACTGCATTTTCTGACATCTGAAAGTTTGACTTAGTGACAAAAGCAATCGTAATAGTGTAATCAAAACCGAAATCATAAAATATGCGGACTATTTTGCGTAGAGATAACGGTGCATACCCATTACGGGGCCGAACTGTGCATTTGTTCGAATTTCTAAAAACAAGCAAAAAAAAGAATTGTTGCGGATTTCGCAACCTTGCTTTTTTCTTTGATCTTTGCTGTTTTGAATTCCACGGACAAACAGCTAAAACACTGTATTGCTCAAAATTTCGCCAAAAAAGGCAACTTTGCGGAACCCGCAACAAAATTCGTAAAACTTGCAACAAAATTTGCGGAATCCGGAACAGTTTGTGAAACCATAAACAAATCATAATAGATATGTTTAGTAAACTCAAGTTGTCATGGAATCCACAACTGTATGTGAAATCCGCAAACTGTGAGCGGAGTCCGCAAACTGTGAGAGGAATCCGCATAAATTTGCGGAACCCACTTGCATTTGCGGAATCCACTTACATTTGCGGAATGCGGAACAACTATATTCGCTCGTTGCGGATTCTGCAACAAAATGAATATGACTACAAAGCTTACGTTACAATTATTTGTACGCGGAAATTCTACAAATTTTTGTTTGTGTAATCCACTTATATTTTGAAACATGTTTAAATACTTGTCAACGCGATTTTAAAAAAGCGCCTAAAAAGGCTATTTTGGCCTGATTTTTAAAATTTTGCTTGCTGGCCAAAACAGGGTCTTTTTAGTGCTTTTGGGCAGCTCGAAAAATCAATTTGTTTGGCCTAAAAAAGGGTCGACAAAAGTTTAGATTTTTTTTTGAAAATTCGCCCCCCTCGAGAAAATCCTAGATCCGCCCCTGATTGAAATGAATTATATTTCTTAGGAGACGTTTGAAAAATGGTGAAAATAATCGATTATTTCTGCTTAAGGTTGTTTTTTTTTGCAGTGAAAAATTATATCATTATAATCGATTTTGATTCAATTTATAATCGGTTGTTTTTGAATTTCAAAGAGACAGACTATAAAAATGCAATATAATTGATAATAATCGACGAAACCCCAGTGAAAGTGTACTTATAAATCTGAAGGTCCAATATCCTAGTTATCTAATTCCACTGCCTTGAACTCAAGGTGATTTTGCTCAAATAATTATTACACGATGCAGCTCAGTCTCTATGATTTAGTGCTATTAACAAGTTATGTTTTTCTAGAAACCTTTTTAGTTGGTGAGTGACCTCACTTTCATTTTAGGCCTTTTACTCTAGGCTTATGGATAGCCAGGTGGTTTTTCAGGTTCTTTTCCTAATAATTGCAGATCTCTGTATGTTAAATTGCAGATACTCACAGAGATCTGCAGCTTAACGTTGTCATTTTGCAGTTTTTTCTTTGATTTTTTTGTATGATCACTCGTAGGTTCTACTTATAGCTTTTGTTTTAAAAGGAATGTGTTAATTTCATTCCAGCAGTTCATTTCATTTTGCGACTTCGGACATTTCATTTAAATGCTCATTTCTGTTTTGGCAGGAAATACTAGTATCTTTTATCTTTAGGTTTCTTGGTTTTCAACCCTACGCGTTCAAGCAACAAAAAACGGATTTTGCTCATGAAGAAATTTGAAAGCTTTTTGTTTGAAGACTAATTGTGCTTTAAATTATATGTTTACCACAAATGCCATGTTTCAAGACAATTGGGCATTTTCAAAAATCACAGGTATGGTAAAAAAGCTGGTTTCATTTTCAGTACTCTCTTACCCATCGATTTTTGCGTAGAGCATTCTGCATGGTATAAGACCTTGAGATTGGTGATAATTTGATCAACTTTATTTTAACTTTTTTTAAAAACTTTATTTTCACTTTTTTGTTCGTATCATTTGTTTATCATATGGACTAGGTGCCCTTATCATTAACGCTAAATCTTCTATCCATTCCATGAAACACATGTCAGAGTGTTTTGATGTGACAGATGCTCAAAAAACAAAAAGAAGCAGAGAATAGGCGCGAAGGATTCAAAATCAACGAGGCATTTTATAGCCCACTATCAAGTTAATTGTTATTTCTACAATTACTGATTTTTATGACATTATTAGTTGGAATAAACCAACCAAGTAACGCTCTTTAATTCTTTTTAAAAAACGTTTCGGAATTTCAGCACAATTTGAAGTGAATTGTACCATACCTTTTTGTACAATTCCAACCATGTGAATAAACAATGGATAGATCTCAAGACAAATTTACGAACACCCACGACTTAAACTCCGAGTCGCTTCAGGGAAACACGACTACAATATCCACGAGAAAGTCATTGGGGGTAAATTTTACAGAGGCGAGTGAGGGAAGGAAATTCAATTTTGAGAATTACAATAGGAGATACCGGGGATCGAACTCGGGAGCTCAGAGTCAAACGGATTTCAGTCATGAAAACACTATGTATCACTTGGTGAGTTCACCGCTTAATTAACGCTTCAGATGAGTTTGGAGCTCTCACGAAACTGTAAAAGAATGTATTTTATGCAATAGTTGAGCAGCAGGCATTTTTTTTGAAAAAAAAGTGCCAGAAATACCCTTTCTGAACCCGTTCCTGGTTTGATGTTCGCAAAGCAAAAAAGGTCCGACTGTGTTTATCAAATTGGGGCTGTTGGATTATTTATTTTATTTTGTTATTTGCGGTTTTCAATTTTGACGCTGGATGACACTTGAAAAAATGCAGCTCTTTATCTCGTTTTTTTTTCAGTGATCTGCTGCATCGGGTTTGTGTATGCGACGTTTTTCTCTGTGTTATAGTTTTGTTTCCGAATAATATACTCTTCTAATCTAACTTAAAGCGCTATTAACGTGTAATGCGATAACTCGCAACAAAAGACAACTCGCATTAAAAGACAACTCGCCTTATGATCACCGCTGCAGTCGCGAAAACATGTTGCGAGCTTGCCAACAGAGGGTAGGACTTTATCCGAAAAATTGAGCCGGTTCTGCCGGTTACAAAGAACCATGTTTATTGGCCATTGAGTCTTAATCACTAGAATTATTCCGAGGTGCATTAATTTGTTCGTAGGTTCCCAAAGTGTCCCTTCAAAGACGAAAACGAGGTGTCGAATTTGACCTGGACAAACACGGTCACGACAAGCACAACAGCAAAAGACGTCAGAGGAATGCATCTCCCACTAACTTGACCTCCAGTTGGCCTTCCCCCTTCTCCAAACTGCCCTCGATTGGGTCTGTGGGGCAGTCATGGGATGCAGTTGATACAAAGGGGGCTCCTTTGACGGAAAAACAGACTAAGTTGTTGAAATCTAGGTTTGCATTGCTTATCTAAAAAAATCTGATATCTGGCAGAGATCGATTAGGGAGTTCGGACGTAAGCATTTTTATAATCATTGAGTTCAAGTTTTGTAATACTTCATTAGGGAACAAAAAAATGTTTCAGGAAATTTGATCAAAAAAACTTCCGTTCTGTTACTCATGATGTCAACTAAAATTGAAAAAAATTTTCATTATAGTCACTTATAAAATCAGGGACAGGGACTTACTAAGATCGACAAAGTTAATTTTTTGAGATCTCCCAATAATCTACGAAAACCCTGTTCAATCAATTCTAGAAGTTACCATTCTTTTCAAGATGATAATTGGGGAATGTTTTCTTGGGTCTAAGCTAGAATGCACAGTCAAATAGGAACAAAACTTCTCGAGCACCAGCACTAGCATTTTTATTACCAGGGACGGATTTAGGGGGAGGGCGAGAAACGGACGCCCTCCCCCTCCCCCTCAGGAATGCGACCTCCTGCTGACCCAATGGGTGCCCCCTTTGAACTAATTTGAGACATCCATTTTCGGCTGACGGACCCTAACATTTTTCTAAAGGCGCCTTTGGCGCCAATATATCCTAATTTTAAGGGAGATCGCGCGCCGAAAAAACGCGATTTTTTGGTAAAAATTTTCTAAAAAAAAAACACAAAAACGCCTTTTTGGCGTTTTTTTTTTAAAAAAACTGCCTGCGGCGTAAAAATTGTTGGCCAAAACAGGAATTTTTTAGTACTTTGGGAGTGCTCGGGAAATCAATTTGGTCGACCTAAAAAAAATCGACAAATTTTCATAAAAATTTTGAAAATCCGCCCCCCCCCCCCCCCCCCTCCTCTCAAGAAAATCCTAGATCCGCCACTGATTGTTACTAAAAAAATAATAGCTGACAGACAAAAAATTGACCCAAAATTTTACTTTTTTTTCAGACGCTCCAAAGAGGAAACAGAATTAATGAAGAAACTCATTTTCCGTCGCGCTCTCGGTGCATTCGACAAGACTAACCAGCAAGCCGACTCGGAACCTCCGACAGAACCCGAACCGGAGTTACCCTCGACAATGGTCAGCCACAACCGAAAAAAAATCATGACATTCGAACGGCTACGAATGTTTGTGAATGAAGCACCGATAGTTCCGATTCAGCCTCATGTTCTGGATGCGATTCAGAAGAAAATAAATAGGAAATACTGGACAAAAAAGGAGCATAAATTTTTGATCAAACGTCTGTTTGATGAAGTCACTGTGCAGTATGAAGAAAGCATGAAGAAAACCAATGGTTCGCTTTGCCTCACTTTGAAAAGGAATACCGAGTTATCATAAGATTCATCGAAAAATTTTTTCTATTTATGTTTTTGAAAAAATTTCAAGTTTCAATTTAAGGCTTTTTTTTTCAGTTTCGACAATTTTGAGGGAGCCAACATGCCTGCAAGCAAAGCACGAGCTGCAAGGGTAAGGTTCACTTACTCCTTCATATTTAAGAGCAAACACTTAATTAACTACTGCGAGTATTTATTTTCAGGCTGGTGTGGGACGCCAGCACTATCTTCAGATACGATGACGAGTGAGTAAATCTTACACATTTTGTTTTTGTTTGCTGACAGATAAGTAAAACAATTTTGTATGACTATGTATGAAAAGTCCATGGTTTGCCATGAAAAGTCCATCATTTTTTTTCATCGATAGAAACTGCATAACTAGCATTAATAATTTAGTTTTCAATGAAGGTTTTCCTACGGTTTCCTTGTCCTTATTTATCTGAGCTTGCAAAAAAACTTTCAGAAAATTAACGCAATTGATCACAATCCATAAGTACAGATAGTATTTAGGATCTAGCCGAGTACATGTTCCAAAAAATATCTGTAAATGGCTGCTATCTCGTGCTAACTGTTTTTGAAATATCGAACTTCCTATTACTGGCAAAATTTTCGAACTGGATAATATATATATCAAGGGAAAAAATTACAGTTAAGAGGACCACCAACTGTTGAAAAAAGGAAACGCAACTATACGTTTGTTTCATGAATAAAGATAACAATGAAACTCCATGTTAAAAGAACCATAGCATTTTCTGAAAAACACTTTAAAAAAAATTTTATACATTTTTTTAGACGTAGGAAATGCTGGCTTTTCTACCGTTTGCTCTGAAAAATTTTTTCATACTGTTCAAGTGTACAAGTGGTCTAGTTGTTGAAAACTGGCGTGTGACCGATTTAACCAGGCTAATTTCCAGTTTCACCTTATGATTTTTTTCAGTTTTGAAAAGTCTATGCAACTTTTTCTAGCGTTTCTAATTCCAGTTGTCGTTGAAAAGATTCTAAGAACAATTTGCCACATCTGCTGCTGGGGGAACGGTAAAAGAGTCAATGTTCCGACCACAGTCTTAGAAAATTTTTAAAACATTTATTTTTCAAATTTGTGTCGTTTTTTTTCGCATGGCGTGATAAAAAGATCTGAACAACAAAAGAAAATTTAGGCATATTTGACAATCATAGTAAAGATGCCATTTGAAAAAAATTGACTAGAAAAAGGAAAAAGAATTGTAAAAAAAATTTTAAAATTTTTTGAAAATCTTTCAAAATTTTTTGCAGATATTTTTGGAATTTTTAATATTTATTTACATATTTGCGCTCAAAACTCCAAAATTACTTTTTTTAGCACAACTAAGGTTTCATGGCTTAAAGTAAGCTTAGATAAGCTATTGTAAGCCCACACGCTCACACGATATTAGTTCGAAATTAGACCAAAAAATAAAAATTTCAAACCGGTTTTTCACAACTCTGTGAAAAAAATTTTAAAATTTTTCAAAATCGTTTGAATCACGATTAAAATGGCCTTAAATTGATATATCACTCGACCCCTTCAGATGAGTATTTGTGGTACCTGATTTTGCCAGGAAAACAAAAAGAAAAAAAAACTAAAACACATCCGAATACAAAGTTCCTCCCCATTTTTCAAATGGTCGCAGGGGCGGATTTAGGGGGGAGTTGAGGGCGGGAGGGACTGGACGCCTTCTATCATTTCAGGAATTCGACCCGCTGCCGACAAAAACGGTCCCTCTTTGTACTATTTTTAGATGTCTATTTTTGTGATTTTTCTGCCTGTACATATTAATACAAGTAGTGCTAGTATCCGCATGCTTATGTGGTTTTTCAGTTGCGCCTAACTTCCTAAAAAAGAATGCCAAAAAATTAATAAATAAATTTTAATTTTTCATTTTTTGTGATTTGTTACTCAGTGAAAACTTTCTTTTCCCCTTCATTTAAATTCTGATTTTAAACAAGTTTGTTCTAATTTTATCACTATGGAGTAAGCGAATGAATGTGAGCTAAATTGTTTTCCACTTTTTAATTCATTACTTTACGCCTTCTGCCAACATAAAACAAAAAAACTACAGAAAAAATCCAAAAGGGGGAAAGTGTTTTTTCAACGAGCCTGTGCTTCGAACTAGTAGCGCTTTCCTACCTAGTTGTTAGCATTTTAGCCAACCATCAGTTACTCCTATAACTAGTAGATGTATTTTAATGTTTTTTGCTTGAAGCTTTTTGTAACATCGCTTCGTTAACATTCCGACACAATGTATATATTCCGACTAATTAGACCCAAATATTCCGAACAAGTTTCAATTAAAACTCCATCGTGTGTCATTACGCTTCAGAAAACGACGCAATAGAAAAAAATAAAAGGAAAAAAAAATCTAGTGTTCTTAAATGAAATTGAGTACTGAGCCTCAAATGGCTACCCGCATCCAAGTTTAGGCGTAAATAATCGATTATAACGGATTATTATGATGATTTTTTGACAATTATAATCGATTATAATTACCAAAATTAGGTCCTTAAGGGATTTATAATTGATTATAATCGTGATATTTTCCAAGAGACTATAATCTTTTATAATCGATTATAATTGATTATAATTGATTATAGTTCTTACTAAAAATCAATTATAATCGATTATAATCGATTACAATCTCTTAATTTGCCAAAATTTTTCTTTTTTTGAATTATATCCTATGGAATATTATTATTTTTGTGTCAATAAGAAAATCTCTAAAAGAGAGATCTCTTGAACACTTTGGTTCATCTGAACACAAAGTTTTACCACGAAACAAAAGTTTCAGAGAGATCCTTTCATATGAGTGGAAAGGTTCTCACGGTAGATGAAAAATAAATTTTCCGAATCAATCATGAAACTAAATCAATTTGCTGATGTTTTGGTGTTCAAAAAAGCTTAAAATATGCATCGCAAAACAACTCTATTGGGGAAGAAATGAAAAAAAAACTTATAAATTTGAATTACTTGGAAAACTTTAAAAATATTTTTCTCATTTTTCTTTGGGACCAACGTCCACAAAAAGCATAAAATATAAACAATTTAGATGCAACTTCGAAGACAAAAATGGACAAACAAAAGGGATTATAATCGATTATAATCGATTATAATGGATTTTTGTGCAAAACTAATGAAATAGAAATTTGAATAAAAAAATGGATTATAATCAATTATAATCGATTATAATTGTGTCGAAAAATAGACGAATAAATAATCGATTATAATCGATTATAATGGATTATAATTAATTATATTTGGATTTTTAAAAGAGAGATTATAATTGATTATTAATTGATTAAAATCGATTGTTTCGCAATTTTAGTAAGACTGGTACTAAAATCGTAATATAATCGATTATTAACGCTTGGAACTGGATGCGGGTATGTAGCTAGTTGTACATAAAGGTATGATTAGAATTGTTTGTTAACCCATTTAACTTGAGTTCAAAGAATCGATCAAATCAACCGAACAAAAACTAATGGTTGACGTCTTGAAGGCTTAAAAAATTACTTGCTTACGTCTCTTTCTGATTTTTGTTTTTAAAGTTTTCCGTTCGTGTTTTCGTTACTAAATACGCGATGTTACGATGTGAAGCATGAAAAAACATGTTCTCAATGTTGAATACTCAGGCCGTTCCCATTAAGCGTGGCGTAGTGGATTATTGGATAGCATTCGAAAGTTTTCACAAAAAACACTCACTCTACATCCATTTTCTTTAGTCATGAATTAAGTTTTCGGATCTTTGTTTTTGAAAACTGAATTTAACAGGATTAAACTGGACTTATTTTTAATTGAAATGATAATTTACACAGGAAGGCTGTTTATATTGGGGTGCCCAAGTACAACAGTGCCAAAAATCATAATCTTGTTCATTATTGCCCAAAGTTCTTTTGAATAGTATTTTTAATCATCCGAAATCACTGACAAGTGATTTTTCAAATGCACGGAAGTTGGAGAGACAAAAATGGTCATCTAGTTGATGCCGCTAGCTAAACAAACCTACTGGATTTTTAAACTTGCTCATATCTATTCAACTTTTTTTTATAAAACGATATCTACCACTTTCGACTTTCGACGTCCTTCCGTATGAAATACCCCAATTTTTGACCCCCCATCTCCCCCACCTTATCATCCCCGAACTTACTTACTTCCCCCACTCAAATACCACCCCACCACCCCGAACTCTCAAGCTTACCCAACCCAGTGTTGGAGGTTTGGGGGTTGGGGAAGGGGTAAATGGAATAGGTGGCATGATGGGGGTGGGGTAAAAGTGAAAGGTGTAATAATGGGAGGGGTGGTAATTTGAGGAAGTAGTTGGAGGTAGGCATATGTGTGCGGTAAGTGGGCGATGGACGGCCATAATCCAAATCAAAAAATAATGAGATAAAAATTCTAAAAAAAAAACAAGAATATTCGTAAGCCAAATTTAAAACTCAATTTGTTGATTCCAGTGTTTGTATCGATAATCTTAGAGTTTCATGGAGGCAGACCTTGATAATCTATCATAATTGATTATTGTCCATAGAATCACGTGTCGGGTAGTTTCCGGTTTGAATTCACGGCTTATGGTTGGCAAGCTTGGAATAAGTATCAATTGAATTTTAATGATTGCAAATTTAAGGTTCGTGCTAAAAATGACTCTTTTTCCTTTCTCCTACTAGCAAATTTTTGATATGAAGGAATTGCTCCTATTGTCCGATTGTTACAAATTATGACATGCATTTTATGGCCGCTCATCCATTTTCCCCGGCTTTTCGATGCTGATAGTTCACTACGAGAACAAACTGTGCACTGGGTAAGCGCACAATTTAGTGTCTGTATGTTCCTGGAATCCAGAGACAACCCGTACTGGCAAGAAACGGATTGCAATCGATTTTATACAGATAATGTAGCAAAGACTTAGAAAATTGTGTTACGTCGAGTTAAAAGTTAAATTAGTTTGATACAAATCTGTAGCTTAAAATTTCATTTCAATAAACTTTTAATCGATTTATATCAATTTTTATTATTTTTCTCTTCTTTCTTTTTCAAATTCCTTTTGAGTAGAAACAGAATTGATTTAAATCGATTCAAATCAATTTTGTCCATGTTTTGGATACTCATTTTCTAATAATATATACAATTTAAACTCAGATTTTGTCGGTTTTTAAAAAATAAAATGGTAGTAAAATGGTAGTAAAATGGTATAACTTTCAATTGATTTTCGTTTTGAGATTTGAACTGATAGAAATTCTGAGTATAACTATTGTATAATCTTTCTGAACCAAAAATGTAGTGTTCTTAAAAAAGTTTTTCAATTATACGTCAATTGTCTAACATAATTGCACCTAGATCAGTGATGAAAAAAATGAGGTTTGAAAAAAAGTTTACCCTTCATACTGCGGGAGCCCGTCGAATTGAACAACTCAAAAGAGTTCTGTTCATCAAAATAGTTTCCGGTAAAAACTCTCTTCGAGGGGCTCTTGCTCTCTGTAGTTCCGATTGAGTTTTTCTTGAGTACCAAAAATTGTTCCAGTTTCAAAACAAAAAATAGTTACATTAGATTTATTTTGTTGAGATTCTGATGGATTTCACTGCCTTGCAAAAGCCATGTACACTAATTAAATCGATTTTTTAGGAAAAAAATTTGTTTTTTTTCTACCCTAGAGATACTTTTCAACCATTCTAAACCGATTTACGTACCTAAATGTCTATCGTAAATCGATTTTCGTACAGTATAATAACTGTAAAAAAAAATTTAATTTGATTTTGTCAGTTTGTCAGCCCGGGAAATCCTTAAACATGTTTAAAAATGTAAGTGTGTTGCACCTACAAAATTTCCTGTAACGTAAAATTTGCCGGCTCATTAGTCGGCAATACTACTGCGGATTCCGCAGTTTCGCCTATTTTTGGGCTTATTTTGAGCAGCACAGTGTTTTATCTATTTCTTTGTGGAATCCAAAACAGCACAGAAGATCGAAGAAAAGTAACAATAATGCGGATTACGCGACAGAACAGATTTTGGCCTGTTGCGGAATCCACTTAAAATCACAAAATGCACAATTTGGCCTTGTAATTGTTGAACGTGTAATTATGGCTGAACGGGTAATGTTCCGATGAAAACTACGATAACAAATTTGTTCAAAATTCATTTTGTTCCTTATGTAAAGTTTCATTGCATTATGACATGTTAAGGTAGCTTTTTAAAGCTGGGGTGGGAAAAACCACTCATGCGATATTCATGCGATATGGTGAGGGGGAAGGAAAAATACCTGATAATATATAACTGCATTTTGAATTTTTTTCTAGACTTGGGGGAAGCGCTATAATGAGAAACTCTCAAATTTTTTTACATGCAAAGTTTCTCCGCGTTTCTCCGAGGTGGTGGAAAAGAGGTGAAACCCCTGTGCTAATTGGAACTGACTAAAGAACCTAAAAATATTCTTCCCAACCTAAAAAATTTCAGTTTTACAACTTCGACAAACGTTATTGATATTCATACCTAACCTTGTAAAAGCACATAAACTAGATGTAGTGCGTGGTGGTGGGGGAAAAGAAAAAGAGCCCTTTGTCCAGCATTTTTTGATTTTTTTTGTCCCCAAAGTATAAAATTTAGCAACCGGAGGCTGTTCTGATAGACTTGGTCTTAGTACTCAAACTTTTACGACCACTCGTTGCACCGCAAAAAGATGCTTTTTTACTCAGTGTTAGATTAAATATTTTTTATGTGCTAGTGAATCGATGAAAGACGTGCGTGGGCGGATGAATGAAGCAAAGGAACACTTGAAGAGGCACCTGTATGTTCTAAATCCCACCATGCAAAACATACTCTCACTCTGTCAGAGGAAGTTCAACGAACCATCACTCATCACATTCGATAACATCAAGTAAGCGAAACTGGTTTTTTTCTATCCTCAGCTGTGACAATTTTGCCCCCACAGCTGATTCACAAAATCTATAGCTAAACTTGTCCAGGATTTGACTGTTACCGGGCAGGCTAAGATTGACTCTTTTCACTTACGTAAGAATTCGCAGGTGGGAGGGGGATTATACCGCCCACCCTAGTAAAATAAACAAATTACAGTCCTCGAAACAGATGAAACGAAATTATATTTTGCGGGTCTATAATTCAATGAGGGGGGGGGGGGGGGGGGTGGGACTATTATGGGAAAGACCCGAAAAAAAGCCTTAGAATTTGCTGGGGGCCCAATAGAAATCTTTCACTTGTGCAGTCCGAATGAGACAAAATTTGGCAAGTTTACCGTATCAAAATCTCACCATATTTGGTTCTCATAGCGAGCCTTGTAAAACTACTAATTACAGCATAAAATTGATTTTATGATTTATGGGGGAGAAGCCGAAAAGCAAATGCATAGTTTGTTAAAGAAGTCAAAAGGTAATCTCTACGGACGTGGGGAAAATATCGGATTTTGACAAGAATGGATATAAATTCCGTCAAACTGATTCAAATTGGTAATATAACCATCTTAATACAGGTGAGTATAGCACAAGGGGTACGGTGAGCGCCTTGAGACCATGAGTCCTTGGTTCTGCTTCGACTCGTTCGGATCAGAGGTGGAGTTATAATGAGGTACATTGAGACCACTGCTCCTTGGTAGAAGAATAGCTTGGCCGGATAGCAGGCCAACTAATTATATTATATAACTATGTAAGGCAAAACTTTTTTATAACGTTGGCTGCAAAGTTTGACATTGGCATCTGATTAGGCTGTTCAAAACGGATTTGGTCCCCATATTTATCCCTGCAGGGCCAATCGTCACACCACAAAGTTAATACGGTGGTAGGCCAACAAGTCCAACGGCCAACAAACCGAAAATAGGACTATCATTCCAACAAGCTGAAAGTTAATTTTGTTATGCAACATAACAGCAGATTGTCATTGTTGTTATGCAATTGTTACATAATTCTGATGTAATTTACGTAATTCTGATGTAATTTTCGGCTTCAAGATATGGCGGTTTGTAGACATGGCTGTTTGTTGATTATCCACCATTAATACTTATGCGAGTATGCGGATGGAAAACGAACCCCTGAAAAAGTTTGATGATGGGACAGCTTGACGTGATCTAAGTGTATAGCTTCATCTGGCTCTTTTTACCCCCCCCCCCCCTCCTCACATAAGTCTAAAAAATGATGTTTACAGGGAGCAAGGAGCAATGACAGTTAAGAATTTGAAAACCGAAGTGGTCGCCATGCTCGAAAAAGCCGAACAGCGACTGATGACCACGTGGTTTCCTGACGTCATCGACCTCATGATGAGAGACGAGTGCTCTGTCCGCTACAAATCAGACCAGCTGAAAAACTTCTACAACTGCGTGTCTGTTTTATTATCCAATCAGATTAAAGAGTTCCTTCGAAATGGAATAGCAAAATGGACCAACTTGTTCCTCCCCGAGAACTCAGATTTCCTACCCCTTTTCAAGGTCGATTTGGTATTGGATGACGAAGGCATGCAGTTTTTGCCACGCTATGAGCAATTGGAGAACAGTTTGGTGTCTGTTATTGATGAAGTTGCATCTCGTATGCAAAACGTGCAGGTGGGTTTTGACTTTTTATGCCAATTCGAGACTTATCCAGAATTTTTTTAATCATTAAAAAGCAAAATATTCTCAAATAAAGGGCATTGATATCAAATTTTATGTCTTAGACATCTCAACTCCTAAATTCATATGCTTGATCAAATTTGCAAAAATGTTTTTTTGTAACTTTTTTTTTATTTTTATGACCATTGAAAATGGGGATGAAATTTGTATTCGGGTGTTTTTAGATTTTTGTTTTCCACGCAAAATCAGGTACCACAAACAATCATCGGACTGGGTTGAGTGATATATCATATTAAATCCCTTACAGTCTTGATTCGAACCACATAAAAAATTTTCAAAAAAGTTTTCCCTGTGTCGAGAGACGAGTGTTTAAAAGCCTACAATAGCTTAGAAAGCCTATAATTGGGTTTAAAAGCCTATAATCGGAGTTAAAAGCTTACCATAGCTTAATTTAAAACGTAAAAATATAGCATTACTTGGGTAACGTTAGTTTACCATGAATATTTTAACGTTTTTTTTTTGGAATCAAAAGTTTCAAAATATCGAAAAACTGCCAAAAACTTGAATACTTTTCAGAATTTTTTAAATTATTTTTTTTTGTTTTTGTAATAGTTTTTCTGCAAAAAATGTTTTTCAATTTGCTTATTTTCAATTTGCTTATACTCAATCCCCAGTTATTTGTTCAACGCCTCTTTTCACTTTCACACCATCCCGAAAAAAATGAAAATAATTTGAAAAAACTTTGTTGAATTTTCTAAGACTATGATCGGAACATTCTGTGCTACTTGCACAGTAACCGGCTTTCGTTGTTTCAATTGATTAACTGCTTAAAAGCTTATGATAGCTTAATTTAAAATGTAAAATTTTATTTCACTTGGGTAATGTTAGTATTCTTTGAGCATTTTAGAGCCTTTTTGGAATGATATTTTTCAAAAATTCAAAAAACTTGAAAAACTTGAAAAAAATCCTTGAAAACTTTTTGTTTGATTTTAATCGTTTTTCTAGCATTTTTTTTTTCAAAAATAATTTTTCAATTTACTTATGTTAACATGTCTGTCGAATATAACTAGTCCCCGGTTTTTCGTACAGCTCCTTTTATTACAGGACGCCAAAAAAAGCGACAACAATTTGAAAATAATGGTCGGAACGTTCTGTGCTACTTACACAGTAACCAGCTATTCTTGTTATATCTGGTAGATGGAGAAAAAAATTTTTCCCGGTGTTGAGAAAAACTGGTTTGTAGTTTTTGATTTTTTGTCTTATTTCGAGCAAATAAAGCGAGCGAGCAGTCTTTAATTACCTCAAAAGCTTACAATAGCTTAATTTGAAAAGTAAAACTTTAGTTTTACTTGGGTATTGTTAGTATTCTTTGAGCATTTTAGCGCTTTTTCGTAATCATATTTTTCAAAAACTCAAAAAATTTCAAAAACTTAAAAATAACTTTTGAAAATTTTTTGTTTGATTTATTTTTGTTTTTCTAGTAAATTTTCAACCAAAAATTGTTTATCAATTTGCTTATTTTAACTTGAATGTCGAATATAACTAATGCCCAGTTTTTTGTTCAGTTCTTTTATTACAGCACGCCAAAAAAAACGACAATAGTTTGAAAAACTTGCTTGTATTTTTTTAAGACTATGGTCGGAACATTCTTGTTACTTACACAGGAACCGGCTATCCTTGTTATATCTGGTAGATGGCAAAAAGAGCAAAGAACAAAAGAAATCCGACTGAAAAGGTTTATTTCCTAGTAGTTTTTGTTCCGACCATTGAAAAAGGGGAGGACTTTGTACTTGGGTGTGGTTTAGTTTTTTTTCCATGCAAAATTAGGTGCTACAAATAATCATCGGACTGGATTGAGTGATATAGCATAATAAAGCCCTTACAGTCGTGATTCAAACCACATATATGCGTTTCTGCATTTTGTTTATTTTAATGTTTTGCAAATTGTTTTTTCTATTTACTTACTTTACTATGACTGTCGAATATACCTAATCTCAGTTTTTTGTTCAGCTCCTTTAATCACACCACGCAGAAAGAAAACGACAATAGTTTGAAAAAATTTTGTTTTATTTCTTAAGAACATGGTCGGAACATTCTGTGCCACCTGCACACAGTAACCGGCTATCTTTGTTGATATCTGGTTTTATTTCAGATTAAAACCAAAAACAAGATTATTTGAAAGTTACAGCTCTCAAAAATGGTCCTTTTCTACAAAATAACGAGGATAATTATTGCCCAAATACATGAATCCGTTAGGTTTTTGGGATACAAAAGTTGTCCTAGTGTATGGCGGCAGGATGGGGGGTGGGGGGGGGGGGTAAGTGGAGGAGAGACAAAGTGTTGTGAGTTGAAGAGAGTGGTTGTGTAGAAGATAGGTCCCCGCTTCACAAACTCGAAAGGTTGCAGGTTCGAAGCCCACCAGGGGCGGATCTAGGATTTTATTGAGGGGAGAGGATTTTATCTAGGACTTTGTGTATAAATTGTTTTCAATTTTAGGCCCTTTTTGGAAGGTTCTGACCAAAAAAAAACAGATTTTTTTTGACAGGCGTTCATCCCTTCAAATTATTACACACTGACACTGAATGAGGAAGGAGCTTTTAGCAAAAAATAGTGTTGTCAGCTTTAAAAAAATAGATGCCGTGCATTAGTACCACGGAGGATTCTCTATGTGGCGAGGGGTTCGAATCACTGGAGGGGGGCTTTATTTTACTTTCTTTGGATGATAAACTGTCCGTCCTAAAAATGTTGATCTCACAAACAACTCTTGTTTATGTAGACGCTGCAGTCGTGGATGGCGTCTTCTTTCGCCCAAAACAGTCCACCCCAGTTTGTGAACACTCAATTGAGCGAGGAGCTCCTCAATATACACAAGCAGACAGTGATCAACACTGTCAAAGAAAAGTTCAAACACGTAGACGAATACCTGAAGATGCAATTTGGTAATTTCACGAAAACTAAAAAAAATAAATACGTTCGTTTACAAGAGGGAATAAATTTGCCTATCATTACAAAATCAATTAAGTCTATCTTTGAAGAACCCCAAAAAGACCAGTTAGTTGCCTATCGACCTACTTGAGAACAATAGGGTTCGGAAACAAAAAAGCTAAGAGCTAGGTTTAATTTTTTACCATTACGCAGTCAATAACTGATGAATCAAATTTATTTCATGAAATTTGTGATTACCAATTTAGTCTTCTAGTTTGCGACAAAATGTTTTTTGTTTGTTTGTTTCAGTTGACAAGTTCAGCTACCTGATAGACGGGGAAGCAGCACAGAGTGTGCAGAAGTTCCTCAATGATCCCGAGCAGACATTTGCCACTATTGAGAAGGTAACTCACTTGATCATTTTTGCCACAATTCTCCCTTCCAGGTTTTGAACACTTCGGTCAACAAATCACCTATCCGTCTTCCACAACAAACTTTTTTGTTCAGATGTTTCTAGGACACCAATGTCTAAGGATGCATTTAGAGAGGAACGATTATTTGGTAGAAAGGTTCCACGAAGCACATATTTAAAGGAGGCATAACGTATTTTTTCGATTTTAATTGTGTCGCCCGAAACTTTTTGCTTCAACTAAATTAGAGAACCGAAAATCGGCGATCATTTCATTACTTTTTGGACCGTCTTTTTAGTTTTCTTGGAAAAACCTAAATATCTTCCTAGTCGACAAAAGATGGTTTGCTAGCAAAATTCTTACATGTGAGGGCCATCTTGCTAGATCTTTTTACAAGAAAAACATCCTTAAAACTCTTTCATGAAAAGTTGTTCGGACCACCTGAAAAACACTGTGGACATTCTAGTTGATAAAGGGTCACAGAACTCCAGTGAAGGAGGAATGTTTTTCAGGAAGCACAGTCGTTTTGGAAAACTTGTAACGAGATCCGAATCCTAGACGCCATTCACACCGTCTCTCTCTTTGAAATCGGATGCCAGGACATCAAAAGAGGTCTATGCGACAGAGCCAAAAATTTCGCAGGCATAAACCTGAACAAACTGGTCGATGAAATTCGGAAAACTAACCAAGGCATTTGCACGGCTTACAACGAAATTGAAGACGTGTGTCTCAAGAGTGCAAAAACTACTGAGGAACTTATGGAACAGTTGTCGTTTGTTGAAAACGCAAGAAGTATTGGATCTTTGCAGCTGACTGACAAAATTAAAATGACCTTGAAGCACTTTTTAGTCCTGACTGATACGCATTTGTTCACATCTGAAGACGTGGAGTTGATCAATTCTGCGGTCACGTGGCCTACTAGGGCGGCACCCATTTTTGACAAACATGACGAGGTAATTGATTAAAGAAACTAGATTTTTGTCATAATGAGAATAATTTGTAATCGAAAGCTGTTTGCGCAATATCAGTAAAATTGTTTCTATTAGGATCTTTTGTTTCTAATTAAAATCTATTGTATTAGATTGTCGACAAAGTCCGTCGTCATCGAGAAGATCTCCTCGCCAAAGTCCGAGAGCGAATGTTAGTCGAACTTGCCAAACTACGAATCAAAGCCTCCGAGCTGCGCGATTGCAAGGATATGGACCAAATGGGAACCTACGTGAACGAAGTCAGAAACATCCAGAAAAGAATGCTGGACGTTAAAGAGGATATCGCGTTTGTCCAAAAAGAGGAGCAGTTATTTAAGACGACTGTTGAGAATTACTCGGATGTGGAGGAGATTCAGAATATGGTGGAACCCTATCATCGGCTGTTTGGAATTGTGACGCGTTGGCAGAAATCTGAGAAAAAGTAAAGATGATTGCCTGATGAATAACTCTATTTAGAAACACAAAAACTCGGACACATCATGCTTTTCATTCATCTTCGGGTGTTCATTATCTGAACCTATGATCACAAATTGAAGGAAATCATACGCTTCAAGGTTTCTTGAATTGAGATGAAACAACTAAGGCAAAATTACGTTAATAAAAATTAGACAAAAATACTGCTTCGTTATTATTATTTTTTGGTTTTAACATGACGTGAATTAACAGGTGGATGGACGGATCCTTTTTCGACCTGCAGCCTGAAACGATCTCGAGTGAAGTGCAAGAGTACTACACCGAACTCTATAAGATATCTAAGTTCTTCAACCAGCTGCAGAAGCGTGAAATGATGGAGAAGAGGAACAAAGGTGAACACAATCTTACATGTCTTAATTACTCCTAAAGAAAGTTTTAATCATTGTTTTTATTCGGTCACTGTATTTCAAATTTTATTTAAAACCCTTTTCTAGCTATGAAAGGTTGGTTTGTTACAATTAACATGATCATTTATTGGCATATCAACGCCACCGACATTGAACTGCACCGATTTTGGCGGATCAAAACTATCTCATCTAAATGTGGTAATTACATAACAATGATTCACTTACATTGATTATTCTTAAGAGGGTCTGAAGAAAAAGAAGGAAAACGACGATGGGGGACTGATTCAGGAGCAGATGCCGGCCATTTTAGTATGTCAGAGGATCCTGCATGACATCAAGAAGTTCAAGGAGTTCATCCCACTCATTGGTCTGTCCAATTCTCTATTTCAATATACTTTTTTGGATTGATTCATGAAATCAGATATGGTAATATTATCTGCCAATTGCACTCTTAGTGTAATTTTGTTTTCTTTTCATTTTTTGGAAGTGTTTCTTCAAGCATGTTTTCTTACAAGGCTCGACAATCTATTGGTTTTGCATGGCTTTAGAGATGATGTTACACATGGATTTAAAAAATCTGAGCACTCGCTGATTAGATAAAGTTTTGGTATAAGTTTGCCTCTTTGCAGTTGAAATTGAAAGTTTTCCATGTTTTTTTTTCTTCACTTTTGTGACGTAATTCGCGTAATGCAACTGGTGTGACGTAACTCGGGTAGTGATGCAACTGATGTGACATAACTGTTCCTACTCCCAGGTATCCTGCGTACTCCTGGCATCACCACTCGTCACTGGGAAGAGATGAGTTTCATAGCGGGAAAGAGCATCATGCCAGATGTGTCCACTTCTATGCGCAAGATGCTCAAACTAGACCTCATGTCTCTTCAGGAGAAGTTCGAGAACGTCAGTGCCGGAGCAGCCAAGGTCAGCCTTTGTTCACGTCTTTTATATATCTTATATGTTACATTATCATGGTTTCCTTTTAAATAAACGGATTTGGTTTTGTGAATTTGTGACCTTGAACAACTTTATCTTTTTAATCAATTAAGAAAAGTTGCAATGTTTTGGTCAAAGACCGAAAGAAAATTTTAAGCAAAATTTGCGTTTATTAAGTTAAATGGTTTCCCCATCGAGCTATACTGTCCTAACACAAACTATCAAGACTCTAATTCGCGTTTTGGGAAAAATATTCTAGGTGATTTTCCAACAAATTCCAAAAAAAATTCAAATTGTTTTGTTCGCAAATTGTTTTGTTCGCAATTTTCTTTTTTTTTCTGTTTGTTTGTTAATTCAGGAGTACTCTCTGGAGAAAAGTATGGAGAAGATGAAGGAGGAGTGGAATGAATTGGAGTTCCCCCTCCTGCAGTACAGGGACACCGACTACAGGATACTCTCTTCTGTGGATGAGATCCAGCTGGTACTGGATGAGCACATAATAAAGACACAGACTATGAGGGGGTCTCCCTTCATCAAACCATTTGCAAACGACATTAAGGTATCTGAATGGAACCAGGTGAAAAAATCAAGACGAAAAAATTTAATTCTTGGATCACCAAGTTTTTTTCTTGGTGAGCACTGAAAAATAAAAATTGTGTTTTATTCTTCTTAAAAAAGCTAAAAGTCTAATTGAGAATAATTTTTCATTTTTTTGATGAATTTTATAATCATTATTTGATTCACTTAAGTTTTATGCCCATGTGATTTTTTGTTTTGCAAAAGAAATAATATACAAACCGCGAAAATTTTCCGTACAATAGCGTAGTGTACCAAATTGCTCCGAAGACAAAAGTTCCACTTACTATTACGTAGCCTCCAGCGGTATTGGCTAAGTTCAATGTCGCTGAGTCTAAGTTTGCAAAGGAGCCTAGCGCGACGTAAGAGGCGTTATCTTTGAGATCAGATGATCGTGTATCTGACCCCCTGCCAATGCAATCATAGAATGTTAGTACGAGCTCTGTTGACCTCTAGCTTCAGACGTACCACAGACTGACTGATTTTGGCTGCAATATTGCTACGTGAAAGTTTTAGACGCACAAAAACGGCCTTGATTAGAAAAAAAGATCTTCTCTCAAGAAAAAACTTATTCTGAAATGAGGGAAAATAAAAGAAACATACTCGGCTTAGACAGGCCTGATAGGTCCTTTTTCCTCTGAGAATCGCAGAAACTTCATAAATTATTGCTTACCATTTTTTAATATTATTTTCGAGAAGCTGGCAGGGTGGGAGGGTAATAAGGGAGGGTTAAAGCCATGTTTACTAGATATGATTTAATTTGGAATTTGTATTTTTTTCTAAGCTTTGTGCGTTTTTGTTTAGTTTTTGCAGCTTAGATGAGTGCGTTGATTCAATTATCATTGATCTCTATAATAACTAGTTGGGTTATTCACTATCTTTAAAACGTTTTGCTTCAGCGCTTTCAATTGTTTGTGATCATTGAATCCGCGAAAATTTCAAATCTAATATTTTGTGGTTTAAATCGACTGACTAAGTCGCCATTGGAATTGTATCTTGATATAGTCTCACGTCGCTACCTTTATTTCTATCTTTTCCTGTTTCCATCTTTAAACTACTTTCATTTTGCTGTGTTTGGGGAATAAATTAGTGAAACTTTGCCGGAAACTCTATTTGCAATACAAAATTTTTTTTCTAACCTTTGACCTAGTTTTTTTCCATAGTTTTTTTACAAGTTTTTTTATTTGCTGCTTATTTTCCAATTTTCTAAAATATTTATTTAATTATTTGCTTAGTTTGACGTAGCTGGCCTTCTTATTTTGAAATGTTCTAAGTTTTTGCTATTGTTTAAAAAGTGAATTTTTTCTATCCAAGTTAATCTAATTAGACGCAACTAACGCTATTTTTCGTTTTCATTCTGTGCGATATTAAAAAAAAAAACAATATTCATAAAGCTGAATAATTTCAGTTTTTCAAAAATTATCTTTCGCCAAATATCAGCTTTTTTGTTGTATTTGATTTCAAAAATTGTAAATTAACTCTCACACAAGCGGTTATATGCACAAAAAATTCACAAAACTAGGTTTTCTTACCCTAAGCATTGATGTATTAAAATTTTTTCCTTGTCGGACTTTGGTCTTAATTTTTGCAAAAAGATTGAAAAAGTTTCTTAATGTCTGTGTGTTTATTACTTTATGATTCTGATAAAACTTGAACAGACAAAAGAGTGCGACAGTTTCAACTTAGTTTTCGAAAGATTTGTCTTGTTGTTATTGTTCGGACCATTGAAAAATTGGAGGAACTTTGTATCCGGGTGTATTTTGGTTCTTTTGTTTTAATTTTTTATCCACTTTAAATCTGGTACCGAAAATAATCGTCGTTCTGGGTTGAGTGATGTATCATATTAGAATTCTTTTAAATCTTTTGATTTTTCGTCTAATTTCGAGCGAGTAAAGAGAGCGAGCAGGCTTATTTATGCTTAATTTAAGTCGCTTAGAATAGTGCATATATGTTTAATTTTTTTATTCGAGTGCTTGCAGTTTTTAACGCCATTTTGGTTTCTGCAAAAATAATTTTGAAAAAATTTTCAAATTTTTTAATTGATTTCTATTTGTTTCTTCAAAAAATGCTGTCCAGTTTGCTTTTTTTTGACTACGACTGTCGAGCATTTCTGAATTCTAGTTTTTGTTCAGATCTTTTTATCACACCACGCAGGAGAACGACACTAGTTTGTAAAAAAAATTGTTTGATGTGTGTTTCAAAACTATATGGTTGGAAATTTTGGTGCAAAATAGACAAACTGCAAAAATATATCTCCTTGTGGCAGTGTGATGAGCGCGCTACGTATTCGTTGGCTCTTCATTCCGATAACTACCAGGTGTTCTCACAAACAGTTTCAGCCCTGGTTTTGGAAAGTTCGCAAGATGTATCAACCCGATTGCATAATTTTGTTCTCGGTCAAAATTGCTTTGAATGTTCTAAATTTGATTGTTTTCGGTCAGATAATTGCAGTTTTTCATGTTTTTGAATACTCCATTCTAATTGGCTCTCTAACAATCTGCCTTTTTATCACAAGTGACTCCACCTGATAGCATCATTTTTTGCTTTTTTCTTTTGCATGAACATCAGTTATGTTTTCTTAAGTGTCTTTTAAGATCAATCAGTCTCTCGCGATATTTCTGGGTAAGTATGAACTTGTTTCTATCGTGGAATTATGATTCAAGACGTAGAGGAATTTTGTTTGCATAAATATGGTTGTCGGCTCGAGTCTCGCAGTTGTGTTACAATTTGCTAAGTGAGTTCAGTTTCTGCAAGTTATTCATAGCTTAGCTGAGCTTAAATATGGAACCGTTAGGTTAAACTTCTGGTTGCTCAAGTTAAAAATATCTTTCGCAGGAATGGGAAGCGTTGCTGATCAACTTACAAGACACTATGGACGAGATCCTCAAACTGCAAGGCCAATGGCTCTACCTGCAACCCATCTTCAGTTCTCCAGACATAGTGGACCAAATGTACGAAGAAGCGAATCTGTTCCAGACTGTTAATTCATACTGGCAGCAGTTGATGACTCACTTCGACAAGGACCCTCATGTCATGGCGGCTATTAGTATGCCAGGGGTGGATGAGATTCTAGAGGAGAGTGCTAAGAAATTGGATGCGATTACCAAGGGGCTGAACATATATTTGGAGAAGAAGAGAAAATTCTTCCCGAGGTGGGTGTCCTCGCTTTAAAAAAAAACTTATGATGGAGCTCCAAATTTTCATCGATAAAAAATTTTCAATCGTTTTCTTAAAAACTTGAGAAAATTACAAAGTCAGGACAAAAATTGCGTGAATTTTTTTTGCGCCTTTTCAGACAGATTAGTTTAGTTTGATTGCTTGAAACTGGGCCTAGAATAAAATAATAACAACAGTTTTATTTCTGCGTATCTCAGAGCTTATATCAAACCTTGTTCAGCCTGCTCGAGGAAATTACGTTTCTATTACATCTATAGTTAAATGAAATCCTCAGATAAGTATTGTTGCATAGGTTCTTCTTCCTCTCTAATGATGAGATGCTTGAGATTCTGTCGGAAACCAAGGACCCCACCAAAGTGCAGCCCCACCTGAAGAAGTGCTTCGAGGGAATAGGCAAACTGGAGTTCAACTCCAAAATGGATGTCACAGCACTAAGGTCACCCGAGGACGAAGCGGTAAATTATTATTGCTTGAGCCAGCCCAGAAAAGTTACCATAAAAACTGCTTATAGTTCTTTAAAAGGGGCACAACACTGGCACAACAGCGGCTTCCCGTGATGAGCTGTACAGCTCGTATGTCGGTCCATTCCCTCGCTGATAAATTGTCTGAAACCTGACAAGAATTAATAGTTATGCTTGAATCATAGAGCCATGGACTTAAGAGCATGTAGTTAACTAAAACATTACTGTGTTCTTTTTTTTGTTAGACTCTTTCTGTTTTGTAAAAGTTACTATATTTATTTGGTCTAAGAATTTTCAAATTAGGTTTTTACTAAAAAGACGTCGTTACTCGAAAATCTTGTTAAGAAAGGAACATGAATTTAAGCATTCCTGGTTAGCGACACTGCCATCAATTCAATAATGATTTTTGTTTGCAGGTCCATTTCGATAAACCGCTCTGTATCGTGGACTGTCTCGGCTCAGTGGAAAAGTGGCTGCTCAAAGTGCAGAATGCCATGTTTGACACTGTGAGGTCCAAGATAGCGGCTGCCAGGGGCAAGTACAGTCCGGACCAGAGGGCGGAGTGGGTTGTGAAGTGGCCTGCCCAGGTGGTGTTGTGTGTGAGCCAGATTGTGTGGACTGCTGAGGTGCACAGAGAACTGAAAGAAGTGGGCGGCAACCTCTCCAGGTAAGCAATTAACTTTTCAAACTTTTCAGATTTTTCAAACTACGAATTTAATAGTCTTCAGTTTCAATTTTTGACTTCTTCGATAATGAAGTAATTACTTTATCACTGCAGAATCAATTACTTCAATTATTATAGTAGTACTGTAAAAAGACCAGTTGGTATAGTGTATTTTTTGACTGGATCAAACCGGATCCTATTTCGTTGAGACGATGCTTCGAGTGTTCTTGAAAAGAATGGATACTATCAGGTCAAATAATTGCCCATTAATTTTGCTCCACAAATTCAAAATGATTCTCAGAAGGCTGGAGTTTTTCATTTCTTATAACTTAATCTGCTCTCCAGGTATTACGACGTGTGTGAGGGTGAAGTGAAGGAGATGGTGAACATCATCAGGGGAGATCTCCCTCCCGGACTCCGAATCACTCTGGGATCCCTGGTCACTATCGAGGTCAAGGCCAGAGACATTGTGAAGGAACTAGCGCAGAAAGGTATCTATTTTTGAGATTTATTACTCTCTAAATCAGATAGATTGGAATCTCAAATTTAAATTTTATGATTGCGCTTTGTTAAAAATGGCTGCTGTGTGTATATGTGTTGCTTCGTTGTCAAAACGCATCTTAAATGCATCCTAAACAAATGAAAACAAGGATAGCCGGTTGCCGTGAAAGTAGCACAGAATGTTCTGACCACATTCACAGAACAAAAAATTTTCTTCCTTTTCAAATTACTCACTTTTCTTCAGCGTCGAGTGATGATAGAACTATTCGAACGCTTAGAAACTCAGAGAACTCGGCATAAATGACTACAATTGTCTTCAAAAAATAAATGAACAAAAAAGCGAAAAGTTTTTTTCCAAAAAATGTTTTGACAACTTTGAAATTTTTTTTTTACCAGGGAAGCGTTAAATAAAGCTTCCAAAACTAGTTTTTGTTATAGTAAAATAGAATGTTTTTTTTTAGCCTAAAATGCTAAGTTTCATATATTGGAAGCGCAACTCAATCGCTTCAATTGCTTGAACTTTGGCTAAAACTCAAAAATTTTAAACCAGTTTTTGTCAAATTTTTGAAAATTTTTCCAAATGTCGCTCGAATTACGACTGAAAGGGTTCTAACAATGATCAAACCCAGTCCGATGATTGTTTATGGCACTTGATTTCGGATGGAAAACAAAAAAGAAGCAAGAATAGCCGGTTGCTGTGCAAGTAGCACATAATTTTTGAACTATATTCATAAAAACATTAAGGGTGAATTAATTTAGTTTTTTTTTTCAAAATGGTGTCGCTTCTATTGCGTAGTGTTTTTTGAGAACTATACAAAAACCTAGAAAGTTAGTGAATTAGGTAAGATTGACAACATTTTTTTTTCAAAAAATGAATACCAAACAAAAATTTTCTTATTATTTGTACCATTATTTTTTGGAGAAAAATTTATATTTTTTTCTATAACAAATTATTGTTACTTGATAGCATTACTTGCTCAAAAAAGACAAAAAATTAAAAAATTCAAACCAGTTTTTTTTTCGTTTTTTTGAAAATGTTTTGGAAAATTTTTCAAGTGTTCGAAACTCGACTGAAAGGGTTTTAATTCACTCAACCCAGTCTGATGTCTTTTTGTGGTACCTGATTTTGCGTGAAAAACAAAAAAAGAACGAAACTAAAAAAGAACAATACAAACAAATTATCTCCACGTTTTTTGAAGGGTCGGAACAAAGAAATTAAAACACACTCGAATACAAAGTTTTTTCCCATTTTCAAGGGTAGGAACAACAAAATTTCCCGGTCGCTGCGCAAGTATCATAGTTTCGGACAATTTTTTATTTAAGGTCGATCAATTTGATTTTCCGAGCTATTCGAAAATAATATAAGGACCTCATTTTGCCATAAATTTTCTGCGCCGCAGACCGCAGTCAATTTTTTCAAAAAACAGGCCACAAAAAGCGTTGTTTTTTGCCACTTTTTGGAAAATTTTGTCTAAAAATTAGCGTTTTTTCTGCGTGCTCCCCCTTCAAAATTAGTTACATTGGCGTCAAAGGCGCCTTTAGAAAATTTTTGAGGTTGGTCAGCCAAAAATTGATGTCGACCTTTTGGAAAAATTTGACAACTAGAATTCAGGGGAGGGGTTGCTCACCTCTGCACGCTACCGTATGATACCATAATTAAACCTCTACGAGCTTTCTTGAAGGTATCTAAATTTGCGTGGAAAAATGCGCTATGATCGTTTACACTCTTTGATAGCAGTCGAAAAACAAGAAGTTGCCACTGCTTGAATCCATTGAAGCGGATCTAAATTTTGGGCGTTGGGTAATTTATTTCTGTTAAACTAAACTTAAATGTAATGAACGCATAATTAACTTAAATAGTCGTTAAATCAGCAGCTGTGAAATTCAGGAGTGCACTCTGAAAATGACTTCCAGTGGCTGGCACAGTTGCGATACTACTTCGAAGAGGGAAGTGCTGTGGTTCGACTCATAAACGCCACAGTGCCATATGGAAACGAGTACCTAGGAAACACCACTCGACTCGTCATCACTCCCCTAACTGACAGGTAGGACATCGGAACTGAGCACTGCTTTGAAGGTTTATTTGATCGTAATTGTGAAGGTGCTAGGTACTCTAATTCTGTTAACAGATGTTACCGAACACTGATTGGCGCTTTCCATTTGAAATTGGGCGGGGCGCCGGAGGGTCCTGCAGGAACTGGTAAAACGGAAACAACCAAGGATTTGGCGAAAGCACTGGCCCTACAGTGCATAGTGTTCAACTGCTCTGATGGGCTGGACTACTTGGCAATGGGAAAAGTGAAGATTTTTTTTTATCATCGCTTCATGGGCTCAGGTTGTTCAGCCGAAAGGCGAACTCCAGTAGAACAAATTAAAACAGTCTTCTTGCATGATGCTATACAAATTTGCGGTCAAAATTTTCATGCTTCCCTGGCTCAACAGCTGATTACCATTTCTTTTTTAAAAAGTTTCATCGAAATCTGGCAAAATTTTGTTGCTATATCTTCGATTTATATGTTTATGACTATACTTGCGCCGTATTCTCTTTTTGTGCATTGTTTTGATGTCGAATCTTATAGATTGCCAAGTTTTGATAGCATCTATTTTTTTGAGAAACCATTTTTCCCCCTCAAAAGCAACTTGAGGAACTTGTTTTAGTTCTTCAAAGGCCTTGCTTCTTCCGGCTGCTGGGCCTGCTTCGACGAATTTAACCGGATAGAGGTGGAAGTGCTCTCAGTTGTGGCGCAACAGATACTAGTCATTCAAAAGGCACTTCAAGCAGGCACACTTTTCTTCGAGTTCGAGGGTGCGCGGCTGGAGTTGAGCAGGAGCTGCTTTGTGGCCATTACCATGAATCCAGGATATCAGGGTCGCTCGGAGCTGCCTGATAACTTAAAGGTTTGATAAATAAATTAATGTTTTTGGTAATGATTTTCAAAATCATCATATTTAGTCGACATCATTTTTTTTATTGTGTCGATTCTGAGTTCCATTTCGTGTAAATTTTGATTAAATGGCCAAAAAGTGTTCAAAAAGTTATTAATTTGGGGTTTTTTAACTATTGTGATAAAAATTTGTTCAAAAAATCTTGAATGATTATTGAAAACACTGAAAACAAAAAGTTTCATGAGCTGGTCTTGAAGGAAAATTTATAAGCGAGTCTATATATCTCAAAGCCGCAAAATTCATTTCAGTGTTTTCCTCCGCTACTCATCTTCTTAATGCAAAATCTGCAAAATCAGACCTGTTCATTACTTGAAAGTTGTTCAAATCATAAAAGATGAAGTCCATCAATGCAAAAAACCTGGCCTGATGATTCATGCAAATTTTTCCAGGTTTTGTTTCGCACGGTCGCAATGATGGTGCCAGACTACGCCCTCATAGGCGAGATATCCCTCTACTCCTCCGGATTCCTGGACGCGAAGAACTTGGCGCGGAAGATAGTGATGACTTACAGGCTGTGCTCGGAACAGTTGTCCAGTCAGCCCCATTATGACTACGGAATGAGGGCGGTTAAGGCTGTGCTGGTGGCTGCGCGAAACTTCAAGTTGAAGTTGCCCAAGGATTCAGAGGATGTTTTGGTGAATTGGATGAGTCCGAATTCTACAGATTAACATTATAAAAGTTTAACCAAAAATAATAAGCGGAAAACAATAGAAAGTATTAATCGATTAATTCAAATCTGTGAGTTTAACTTCTTATAATGTCTTCACAATATTCATAAGAAGTGGCGAAAACTCAGTGATCACTTTTTGTGCAACTAATATAAAATCAACATCTTTTTTGATTAGGTATTTGCTATTTGCTGAATCAAATGTTTATTTTTAGGTCCTCAGGTCAGTGCGTGACGTCAACCTTCCGAAATTTCTGGCCCAAGATGTGCCTCTGTTCGAGGGCATTCTCAAAGACCTCTTTACAGACATAGAGGCGATGAAGCCAGCCTACTATGACATGTTCTTCTCGTCGGTGGGGGTGGCTTGTGAGAAGTTGAGCAGGGAGTTGACAGATGCGTTCAAGGAGAAAGTGTCCCAGACTTATGAGATGATGCTGGTCAGACATGGGTTAGTTTATGTTTGGTTGGAACAATGTTCCGGCGCTATTTTGCAGATTGATTTATAACTTACAAAGGCTGATGATCATTAGCGCAATGGATAACAGCGTTTAGCACCAAGAATAAAAACCTTATCAATAGTTAGAACATGCATCCCTTCCGGTTTTCATTCTTTCAACAATAGACCAAAGTTCTTCTGTAACTCTAGAAAAAATAACTAAGTCAGAAATGCATGTTTTTTAGCGGGAAGGAGTAACATAGCTATCAACCGGCTATACTTGTTCATTTAGGTTTATGCTGGTCGGTGAACCATATGGCAGCAAGACTTCTATTCTACGAGTGCTGGCTGAAACACTGAACTTAATCGCACTGGATCCCAGCAGTGCCTCCTTCAACGAACAGGGCGTGGTCTTTTCCACAATCAACCCTAAGGCAATCACTCTTGCTCAGCTGTACGGCGCTTTTGACAGTTCAACTCAAGATGTAATTATATTCATATGCGTTGAAACATACTTATTTTTGGAAAAATTGCACAAAAAATTCTATCGGATTTATAGTTTGAAATTGAACAAAATGTTGATGCTATTTAGCTGAAAATTTATCATGCCCTATATCAAATAAAAAAGAGAAGCAAAATTAAAAGATGTGTCATTTTTTATGCTATTATTTGCTCTGAAGTGTTTGACTTTGATCTATTTGTTTCAGACTGGATACTACGAACAATCTAAGGTGCCGTATTTATGTCCTTTAATTAATTCTGATCATCTATTATCACGGCGGCAGATGTATGAGGGAAAGTGGACACCCCATTCTACCTGAGCACGCAAATGGTCCCCTTTGTAGCTAGTTTCTGACATCTTTTTTGGGCCAAGCAACATTAATTTGTTTTTGAAAACACCTCAGGGGCCAAAACTTATTAATACTTGTGATGGGGGGGGGGGGGAGCGACAAAAACTCATTTAAAAAAAAATAAGTTTCGATATAACAGAAAACGAATAACACATACTTTGCCATTATTCACATTTGAGTTTGGTTCACATACTTTGCCATTATTCACATTAGTCAGCATATAGACATCAAATAGTAAAACAAAGTTACCATGCTTGTGACTGTTATTTTTAGTTTGGGTTTGTGTATATAGCAGCTTTCGATAAAAAAAGGGTTAATATGTGCATTTTCTCGATTAGTGGCGTGAGGGTGTGTTGGGCAGAGTGTTTCGTGACTACGCCAGTTCTCCCAAGGCACACCGCAAGTGGATCATATTCGACGGACCAATAGACTCAGTCTGGATTGAGAACCTCAACACGGGTGAGAAGTTTTTTTTATAGCAGTTAAATGGATGGAGCTCAATTTGTTACTGATGTGGTACACGCTAGCTTGAAACATGCGAGAGGCTATAGTTTATATTCATACTAATTATTATTCTTTTCAATGCTGTTTTTTTTTCTTGCGATTAGCATGTGATATCAAATCCGGGAATAAACTTTTTTGTTAAAGTTTTTTTTAAAGCAGAAACACTTTTCTCCTGAAGTTGGCCTTCGCCAATTTTTTTTATTTATTTTTGGCACTTATTGCCCATTTTAAGTCGTTTTGCATCCCTGCTGAAAACTGCAAGTAATTATCAATATAAAAAACCTTTTAGCTGATGGTAATGGTGCACCAGTACCAATAGCTAAAGAGATTTCTTTTTTCAATTGTTATGCTCCGACGACTCTCGAAGAGAAAGAAAGAACTTTGGCGTAAGGTCTATTTTTATAAAATTATTTTTTTAGCCCATTTTGACAAGCATTAACGCTCTGTCTTAACAATATAGATTGCTTTTTCTATTTTTGTTCTCCTACTACAACTGCTTTTGTTAAAAAAAAACTTGCGGGAAATTTAGATTGCTTTTTTCTTGTATTTTCTACTTCAATTGCTTTTATTGGAAAAAAGAACTTGCGGGAAATTTAGACGAAACAATTTACAAAAAAAATTTTTCGATTGTTTTTTAAAATCTCATTGGTTTCTGAGTTACTTTACTTTCATCAACTTCGTTGAAACATTAATTGATATGAGCAGTGCAATAGACATTTTGTTCCAACTTTCGAAGAAAAATATATGATCGGGGTGGTTTTTGTTGTCCACGCAAAATCAGCTACCATAAATAATAATCGGACAGCGTTGAGTTATATATTATATAAAAGAACTTTCAGTCGTGATTCGAACGTCATTAAAAAAGTTCAAATAGTTTTTCACAGTGTCGAGAAAAACCAGTGTGAAATTTTTGATTTTTGGTCTTATTTCAAGCTAGTTATTAAGGTAGTTAGTAATTGCAATAGCTTAATTAAGCTTAATTTAGGCCGTTAAAACTTAGTTTTACCCAGGTGAAAGTAGTTTTTGAAGTTGGTTACCGCAATTTTGGGAATCAAAAACTTGAAACTTCAAAAAACGGCCGCAAAAAACTTTTAAAAAATTTTGTGTTTTTTCGCGTTTTTTTTTTAAATTTTCTGGCCATTTTCTTTCAAAAGTTTTTTTTTCGGTTGACCTTTGATACTATGACTCTCAAATATGCCTAAATTCTAAATTTCTATCACAAAAGCAGAAAAAAACGACACCAATTTGAGAAAACATATTTAATTTTTCTTAAGAATGTGGTCGGACAAATCTGTGCTACTTGCACAGTAACCGGCTACAATTGTTTTTTATTTACCAATTTTACAAACTTGCGGTAAATTTTAAACAAATAAATTGCACGAAAAAATATTCAATTTTTTATTAAAATTTAATTGGTTAATGAGTTACTTTTCTTTGAAAAACTTCGTTCAAGCATACTCTGATGCAGTGCAATAGGTTTTCTTGTGCCGACTTTCGGGAAGGTTTTCTTGTTTACCAATTTTACAAAACGCTTAGTCTCTCATTGATTCGATCTCTTTATCTCTTGTTACCCAACCGGGTGTATACATCGCTCTACGATCCTGCCACAAGTCTGACTAAACTACTCATTTTATAATTTAAAAGCGTGGCGATTTATCCCGCTCTTTAAAATTGTTCCAGATTATTTTGAGGCAGTTAATTAGGTTTCTCAATTTGTAACACTTACAATTTGATCAGCCTAAAAAGTCATATTTTGCCAATATTTATTATATCAAAAAGTATCCGATAGATCATTATAATCAAATCCAAATTGGTTTTAAAAATTCCGTTTTCTTCGAAAGTCGTAACAATAAAGCTTAGAAAAAGAGGTCTGGGAAAGTCCGGAAACTTGAGAAAATTTTTACAAAGTAGTTTTTGTTCGAATATTTGTGAGAAGTTTCGGCTCAAGACAAAACTTTCATCTCAGTGATGCATTAAGCATCTGTCACTTTAGGGAGGAAAACTAAGTGTGAATCAGAAAATTGAAAATTTTTTCGACAAATTTTTGAGATCGAAGATCTTAATCATAAGTTTAACATGTTTTGTTTATGAGAAAAAAAATTAAAAAATCTTTTTAGTTTTAGCAATTTAATAGAAGAAAATTATTTTTTGCTACATTGCTTTCCCATTCCAGTGACTGATATGCTTTTCTTCTCTTCAAGTATCAAAACAATATATCACAAGGAACAGTATAATGCATAACATTACAATTCCAAACTGTGCACTGGGTAGGCGCACAATTTTGTGTCTGTATGTTCCTGGATTCCAGAGGCAAGTCTTTAAACTTGTTCTAAAATGTAAGTGGATTCCACAGACGAAACTTCAGTGGATTTCGCGTACAATTATTATTAACGTAAGTTTGTCGGCACATTGATTTTGTTGCGTAGTCCGCAACGAGCGAATATACTTATTTGCTCCGGGCTCCGCAAATGTAAGCGGATTTCGCAAATGTACGTGGATTTCGCAAACTTATGCGGATTCCGCCTACAATTTGCGGATTCCGTTTACAGTTTGCGGAATCCGCTTACAGTTTGCGGATTTCGCTTACAGTTTGCGGATTCCGCTTACAATTTGCGGATTTCACTTACAAATGTGGATTCCGCGACAGCTTAAGTTTAGTAAGCACATATAATATTATTTGTTCATGGATTCCACAAACTGGTTCAGGATTCCACACGTTTTTTTGCCTGTATTTGGAACGATTTTGAGCAGCACAGTGTTTCAGCTATTTGTACGTGGAATCCAAAACAGAAGAGAAGATCAAAAAAATAGCAATGTTGCGGATTTCGCGACAAATCTAATTTTTGCCTGTTGCGGAATCCGCTTACAATTCACAAAATGCACAGTTTGGCCTCGTAATGTAATTTAAGTTTATTAACTTTTTTGTTCAATTTTGAAGTTAAAATATACCGGAGAGAGAGAGAGAGAGAGAGAGAGAGAGAGAGAGAGAAAACTACAATAAGTCGAGATATATCTCTTTTGGGTCGCGCAAAGTCTCACAAAATTTTTGATCAAGCTTACTTTTTCAACGTTTTTTAGTCGCTCAAAGTTGTGACGTATCTAACTTTTGGTTCGCTCATTTTTGCGATATAATTTTTTTGGTACTCAAGGTCGCGAAGGATTTGTTGGTTGGACAAAGTTGTGGTATTTATATTTTGAGTCGCAACAGACGTCGTTTCTTTTGCGCGAGAATGCAATTCTCATGCTAATGTTTCTTTATAATCAACTTTTTCTTCACCTTTTTTTCCAATCAGGGGTCAAAAAGACTGTGGACTGTTTGATTTACTAAACTTCTTTATTCCATTTAGTGCTGGACGACAATAAGAAACTTTGTCTAATGAGTGGTGAGATTGTGCAGATGACAGACAGTATGACCTTGATCTTCGAGACGATGGATCTGGGACAGGCATCCCCCGCAACGGTGAGTAAAAAGATCAAAATCTTGCGTTCAATCGGTAACTGAACACTTGTGATAATGTGATGTCCCTGCTCCCCCACCCATGTTGTTTGAAAGAGTTTTTGTAGTTAATCGGACAATTCGCAGCAATGTTATGTAACAGCTCCGTATGTCTGGCCGGTTTATATGATACCTGAGGGTTGTTTCAAGTACCAGCGAGTTAATTGCTTACTTTAATTAAGACTGTCGTGCTGTCGTGTGTTTAGGTATCCCGATGTGGTATGATCTACACTGAACAGTCCCAACTGGGCTGGCGTCCCCTTGTGAACATCTGGCTGAAGAGACAGACCAAACTGACAGAGTCAGGGTACACTGCAGCAATGGTTGAATTCTTCCTCCCCAAATTGTTCGAGTTCATTCACGCACAGTGCTCGGTGAGATTGTGAAAAGTTTCAGTTGAAAAACTGTTCATACTGAAGTTGAAATTAATTTTCTAAGGTAATGCTAATAACTGGTGCTAAAAATTTTTTAAATAGTTCAGAACCAACTATTTTTTTTATCTTCGTCTCGTCAAAGATCTTTTTTCGACGAAGAGAAGATAAGCCAATTTTTCTCTGGCTGTGAAATAATACACAGTTGTCCTCGTTTCACCCTTGGTTGAATATAATTTTGAATGTCAAATATTTCATGTACTCAGATGCTGGTTGTGTGCTCTGAAAGCCACCTGGCCCAGAGTGTAATAAATCTGTACGAGGGACTCATCAGTCAACATCTGGGCAGAAATACCGACCAGTTCACCGACTGGCAAGTGGTGAGTCATCATCCACCAGCAAACTGTTCAGTAAACTTGTTCAGCAAACAGCAAAGTGTTCAGTAAACTATAGAAGATATAAAGGATCTGCATTTTTCAACCGTCTACACACACCTTAGCCAGCACAAAATGGTCCTTTAATATCGATACGATAGAAAAATACGGTCTTTAAGCTAGTGGGCGAATGAAACCTATACAACCTTCGGTACGTTTAGTGCGTATCCGCATGGCTGGATTCCGGTATCTTCAGGCCATCACATGATCTACACAGTTTAATTGAATAGGGGACAATCGATTAAAAGCTACAAGTGGTCAAGAGCATTCAAGCGGTACTATTTAGAGAAAAAACAGCAATTCGTATCAAGGAAAGCCGGTTTCTGTGCAAGTATCACAGAATATTCCGACCATATAAAAAGTGTTTTTTTTTCACGTCTTTCATCAACTATTCATGTTTTTTGCGCGTGGTGTGATAAAACACTCTAAAGAAAACCAACAATGTTGGCATATTCGACAGCCACAGTACGATAGGCAGATCGAATAACGGTTTTTGTAGAAAAACTTGGAAATTTTTTAAAAATCTATTTTGTTTTTTTTTTCGAATTTTTTTTGCAGAAACTGTTTTTTATTTCAAAAAAGGCGCCAAAACCTTTTAAAAAATTAATTGGAGTGAAGCTGAAATTTTATGGCTCATTCTTCCATAATAAGGCCGCTCACTTGCTTTACTTGCTCGAAATTAGACAAAAGTTCAAAAATATCAACCGGTTTTTCTTGACACTGGTAAAAACTTTTGATATTTTTAATGTCGATAAATCACGACTGAAAGGGCTTTAAGTTAATTTATTACTCGACACAAATGGATGATTATTTGTGGTAAATCACTTTGGTTGAAAATTAAAATAAGCCTGTTCGCTCACCTTATTTTTACACTGAGGAAAACATTTCAAAATTTGTTAATGGAGTTTAAATTACAAATTAAAAGGCGTTTAATGGCGTTTGAATTGCAAAATGAAAAAAAAGAAAAAAAGAAAAAAAAACTAAACACACTCGAACACAAAGCTCATTCCAAATTTCAATGATCCGAGCAACAAGGTTCTGGCAAATAGCAACCTTTGCTGCGCTGCGATCCTATTCGACAGGAGAGAAGTAGTGCGCGTGAACTAGTGTTTACCGCTCAGTCTACTGCTTTGAATTCTCGCTGGTCCGAAATATTGCCTGATGTGAGTTTTCATTGATTTCAAAAAGCGCGAATTGTCGTTTCAACCAAATGCCGCATTCCACGAGTTGTCGCTTCGAGCTAATAAGTGATATGATTTTGTCAACTGAGCGTGTTTAGATTAATTAGAGATGAATTGACAGTTCTATCAATCCTAATTTCTATAGAAATAGGACCTTAAATTCACAAATTTTCTGACTGCCGTTCAAGGTCTTTGGAGCAGTCTTTGTTTTAACAATATTGATGAAATTTTCACCAAAAAATGAAGAAAAAAATCTAACGAACCTAGAAACTTTATCGAGTTTTTTTCCAAAAATTATCCCCCCACACGCCACATAGAGTATAAAGTGATCGATTTCACACCTAGTGACGTAACAAGTATGACAAATAGCCTGCTTCAACTGATTCGGAACGAATTCTAAGACGGATTAAATCTCCGACTACGCGTTAATAGCGCGAAACATACCGGCCATTAATTGTCTCATTTGCTCAAATTTGTAATCTTTAAACACCCATAAGTTTTTATAAAAATTATCATAGATAAAATATATTTTCAAGTTTGAGCTAAAGACAACATTATCTTTTGAATGATTCTGAAATTTTTTTTCAAGATTTGCTAGCTAAAAAGTAGAATTTTGTCTGCATAAAAAACGACCCCGAGCACGAATCTTCCGTCACCTTTTTCGAAAACTGGAAAAAAAAGGCACTGGATTCAGAATTAAAATGGGATCGAAATAACTGTGTCAGTCTTAAAAACTTTGACTGTAACGTTACCAATTCAAAAAAATTCACAAAGAAGCAGCTTTCTGTCGAAAGCTAATATCTATTATACACACATTGAAGTTCTAACGATAACGATTATCAATTGACAACAGTTTTTAATCCGACTTTCGATACGAAAAAAATGGAATATTTGTGCTCGGGGTGAGTGTTTTTTCTTCAGACAAATTTCGACTTTTTAACTAGCCATTTTTGACGGGATTTTTTTTATTTTGTTCGAAAAGTATTGTTGTCCTGAGCTTAAATTTGAAAAGATATTTTACCTATGACCATTTTTCGTAAAGTTGTGGGGGTTTAAAGATTGACATTTTGGCCAATTTGGGACAATTAACTATATTTCGCACTCTTAACGCGTAAGCGGAGATTTAATCCGTTCTAGAAATCGTTCCAAATTGTTAAAAGAAACTTATTTGCCATAATGGATTGTTAGTAGCAGCAAAATGTATTCTTCTTATCTTTATGTAGCGTGTCGAGGGATAGTTTTCATAAAAAAGTTCAAAATTCAAAAAAAAAATTAATTTTTTTTCATTCATTTTTTTCTTTTATTACTGCTCCATAAACCTTAAAAGGCAGTCGGAACACTCAGGGCTTCGCCCTGATACGAGCAGTCTTGTTTCTATAAGGCTCCTCTTCTAAAATTTATCTCTGGGTAACTTATTATTCAGACTTATGAAACGAAAGTAACGGAGTGTTTGTGCTCGGGTGGGTTTTTTTTCTTCAGACAATTTTCGACTTTTTAACAGGCCATTTTTGACGGATTTTTAAAAATCATTCGAAAGCTATTGTTATCCTGAGCTTAAAAATGAAAACATCTTTTACCTGTAATCATTTTCCGTAATGTTATGGGGGTTAAAAGATTGCCATCTTGGCCAATTTGGGACAATTAACGCGCTATATATTTCGCGCTCTTTCGTGCTATTTAATCCGTCATAGAAATTGTTCCAAATTGATTGAAAGAAACTTATTTGCCATTATTGATTTGTTAAAAGGAGCGAAATTTATCCTTTTGTTTTTTATGGCGTGTGTCTCAAATAATCTCAAATATTAGAGAAAAAAACACATTTAATTTTATTACATTTTTTTTAAATGTTAATACTGCTTCATAAACCGTAAAAGGCAGTCGGGACATTCAGGGCTGCGCAATGATACGAGCAGTCTTGTTTCAATTTTTGAATCTACGAGACACAGAAATTGCACTTTTAGTTTTCAACTGATGAGTCGAACGAATATTTTGTGCACATATTTGTCGTTTTATCTACATTTTATTTTGATTTTTATCTTCAATTTTTATGGCCAAAGTTTGATATATGGGAAATAAAAGTAATTAAAATGATTTAATCGAAAACAGCATAAGTAGTTATAATGCGTTGTTGTTCCGACTTTCGATACGAAAGTAACGGAATATTTGTGCTCGGGGTGGGTTTTTTTTTCTTCAGACAAATTTCGACTTTTTAACTAGCCATTTTTGACAAATTTTTTTTTATTTCATTCAAAAAGTATCGTTGTCCTGAGCTTAAAATTGAAAAAATGTTTCACCTGTGATCATTATTTCTAAAGTTACGAGGGTTTAAAAATTGCCATTTTGGCCATTTTGGCCAGTTTGGGACAATAAACGCGCGATATAATTCGCGCTATTAACGCGTAAGCAGAGATTTAATCCGTCTTATAAATCGTTCCAAATTGGTTGAACGAAGCTTATTTATTATAATTGATTTTTTACAAGGAACGAAATCTACCTTTTTGTACTTTATATGGCGTGTGGGGGGATGATTTTCATAAAAAATTTCAAATTTTAGAAAAAAAAATTTTCATTTTCTTTTATTTCATTTATTTTTTTTATGTTATTTCTGCTGCTTCATAAACCTTAAAAGGCAGTCGGAACATTCTGGGCTTCGCATGATACGAGCATTCTTGTTTGGTTATACAAACAAAAATCGTCGGAGAAATTTGTCGGAAAAATTGTCGGTTGCTCAAACAAAAATCCCTGTAATTAGCTCAAGATGTTTCAATTTTCGGACTCAAAACTGTTCAATGGAAAACTAAAGATCACAGCTGGGCACCCTCATAAGTTTATTTCAACATAAAAACTCGAATATTTGTGAAGCTTTTTGACACATTTCAGCAGAAAGTCATCAGTTTGTTTGGTTCCTGCATTTCAACCATGAAGCTTAATTAATCATAAAAAACAACAAAAATATGAAAAAGTAATAGTTTTGTTTGTTCGTTAAATAATTTTTTGTTGCTATTTTACCTGTGCTTTTCTCCTTTTTTGGATGATGCGAAGTTAAATTTGGCTTAGGAGAAAAAGTTCACGCCACCTTCTTGACCAATTCAACTGTTTAAAAACACAAATATCGATTCAAATCAGTTTCCAGTGGTAGGTTCAAAACGAAAGTTTAAAAACTAACGCGGCATTAAAATCAGGCTTCACTAAAGTCCGTCAACTCTAATTAGCGCTCTTTTTTCTCCAAAATAGTCATTTCCGTAAATTTCTGCTCGTACGGCAGAATTCTCTTGAACGTTAAATCAAGAAAGTTCAAAAAATTTTGTTCAAAACTTTCTAGCAACGGCTATCTTACGACTTTCGAAATAACTGAATTGAAAGGACTTCTTAGTAGAAAATGCTGTAATCTCGAAGGTCAACGATCCTAGAAAATTAACTAAAGCACTTTTCTATACAACACGTGATCAGAGTTTTGAATTTTTTTCTTTCTTCATGACAAAGCATTGGTTGGTGTATAAGAGCAGAGAAGATGATAATTGATTTTCGAAAATTTTGATTGTGCTGCTACCCCAAAATCAAGCCAATTTCAAGTATTTTCAAGTAGCATTATTTTAATATTACCTATTTGTTCTTTTATTTTAGTGAACTATACGATCGTTTTTGATAAAAAAAATTCATTTCGAACTAGTTCATTTTAAAATTGTAGTCATTGCTGGTTTTTCGTCAAAGCACAATTATGTTGTCTGGTTAGAAAATAGCTGTACCCTCGGTTGCCAAACCTGGGGGAGCTAACAAAGCCAAAAGGAGGTATGACCCTATCATACGAAAGCGGAACATGGCTCTACTGGCTGCGAAAACAGCAGCCAAAGCCAACCTAAGTCACAAACACGACAGATTCAAACTGCTGCATGTCGTAAGTTTGACTCGTAATGCAGACTTTAATGAGTGTGTTGAATGTATCTTTTTGTGTATTTTAATTCATTTTTTGTTCTATTTATTGTACCATTTTTTGTAATGTTTATTGTAGCTTTCAGAAGCCCTTCTGAAATCTTGTGAAAACATTCTGCAACCAAGATGGCGATTTACGATCAGTTTATATGTTTGCTTTGAATTGAACTGTCGAACTGTTTAGAACCTGATGATATTTGCTCTGAATCACGCACTCGGAAACTACCTGACAGACGAAAGCCGAGTGAAGTTCGGCGAGTTTCTTCGCAGCCTGTGCGCCACTCCTGACTTCCAAGAAATGCAATTGGAAAACTTTGTACCCCTCCCAGAAACCGAGGATTGTTTCGACGTTGTTTACGAGGTAAGCAATCTTAAATGAAAATTGCTTTTCATTTTTGAAAAAATTGAAAATTGATTCAAAATTGAATGTTCATAACTGTTTCAGACTTGCCTGATCGAAAATGAAGAGGGAGAGGTAAATTCTTCCTTTTATTTTTTTTAATGTGCTTTATGAAGTCACATGAATCATCATTAGTAAATTGTTTGTGATGTACTCAAAAATACAGGAAGCGTTTTATTACATTTTAGACTACTTGAAAGCAGGCAACCAGTATCTCACGCAGCAACCCCCTTTTATACATTATACAAACCCCTTGGACTAGGTTATTACGCAATTCAATGTTTTCAAAATAAAATTTGATTCTTCGTAGAAAAATTACGAGCGCCAATGGGTGACGTGGAAACAGCTCGGAAGCAGCAACCTCAACAACATCATGGCCTCAAAACAGGCCATACATGAAGTGACCATACCCACTACAGAGTCCATACGCTTCAACTACATAGTTCAGGTAGACACATCTTATATAAACTTGATAGCCGTGATCGCATTGCCATCAGCAAGTGAATTTACTAGTTTGGAACCTGATATTTTTTCAAAAATAGTGGCTTTGAAGTCTTTTAACGATCCGATGAGGCTCAATTAATGTCTCGTTATTTCTTGACTGTGATAGTCTCGGTTCAACATTTTTTCTTTTATTTTTCTTTTTGATATACAGTGTCTACATTGTCTTTGCATCTCATTTAGTCCCCTGTCGAACGCCCGACCTTCTTAAACTCTTCTGCATCTTTATTTAAATTGTACTGGAGTAAGTTAAATTGGAGTGAAAGTGCGCAAATTAAAAGATTGACATTTAAATTACAGAGAAAGCATAGTGCGAAAAATGGAAAAAGAAAGTCATTTTAAGTGGGCTACTTAGGCTCTGAGTGTGCAGTTCAGTTCGAATGTGTTGGCAATTGGGGGCACTGGGACTGGGAAGACAGTGATCATGAGTCACTTCCTCAAGTTGGACTCCACCAAGACCACCCACCATCCCATGTGGGTCAACTTCGCCACTCAGACCACCGCCACACAGGCACTGGTCAGTTAGTTTGTTTGCATCATTGAGTTAAGTTTCTAACGCTTTTGATCCACCAAAATAGCCTTACAAGGGGGCTATTCTCGTGCAAGAAGGACCGATTGCGCGAAATTTCTTATCCAATGAACGCCCTTCAAATGGTCCAAAAATCCAAAGGATTTTGTCGCTTATTTCATTCAAACTTATGAATTCTGAATTCTGGTTGGCTGACATAACATTTGGGCATTTGGTCCTTCGCGCATGAGGGATTTCTACGCATAAAAGAAGTCCCCACATACGGGGTGTTCAAGTAGTTTACAAATTTATGTTCATGGTAAAAAATTGGGTGATTTTTTTTGGTGACTTATTTCGGTTTTGAAATGCTTTCTTCATAAAATGCTGCCAAGTGGTTAAAATAACTTCTGTTTCTGTGCAGGACTACGTGATGAGTAAGTTGGAGAAGAGGAAGAAGGGTTTCTTTGGACCCCCAGTGGGCAAGAAGGCCCTGCTGATGGTGGATGATGTGAACATGCCACAGCCAGAGGAGTTCGGATCCCAGCCGGCTGTTGAACTACTCGCACAATTGTTCAACCACCAATTTTGGTAAGAAACGGGTCTCAAACATATTAAATTTATATAAAATTTTGGGAAAAGCTACCTATAAATCTCGTATTGCCAAATTGCGTTTACTGTTTTTGATCAAATAGGATTTTTCGTTGTGATGCTATTTGCTTTATGGAACTCAAAGTTTCAAAAAAGATTCGCTTTTTACAACGTCAGTTGGTTATGTTGTGTTTTATTGATCGCCATTAATTTATAAACACAGCTTGTGTTTCAATTATATTAAGTGTCTGTGGTTAACAAGTTTCCTCAATTCTGTCCATCCAAATCGCCAGGTACGACAAGGAAAACAACAAGGCCACTATCATGGACACACAAGTGATGGCGGCAATGAATCCCTTCAGAGGGGCCTCTTCAGTGTCCCCCAGATTCATGCGCCACTTCAACGTACTCGCCTTCTCCTCCTTCTCCAATGAGTCACTGCAGAGAATATTCACTACCCAATTCAACATGTATCTAGAGGTGAGTACATGCTGACTTAAAATTTATGATCGTTTATGAAAAATTTATGATCCCATCTAGGAGTAAGGCAACAAATCCCACCACAGAAAATCAACCTAAGCTAATTTCTTCCCGTGCGCGAACATTGTCACTAAGGGCGCGAACATAAATGCTTGTAAACTTGCCGCCGTGATACCAAAATCTTCACTTGAACCCAGGTTGGATTGCGCAAAGAAGCAACATAAGTCGCGCAAAGTTGCAGCATCGGTCGAGTAAAAACTCGGCTTAAGTTAAATTGGCTGGGCAAAGACCCAAAAGTCCCGCAAATAAGCAGCTTGAGATTGCGCAAAGTTGCTGCATAAATTGCAAAAAAATTTTCAAATAAAATTTTTTGACGTTTAAGTTTTGCTTTGGAAAAAACCTCCTCCTAAGTGTATCATTATAATGTTATTCTTTATATTGTTCTGGTCAAACATCGCCACAAAATTTCTTGTGAAAACTATAAATTATAATTTTAATTCAATCATATTTCAGGCAAAGTCGCAGCATAAATCGTGCATACTCAAAAGCGGAGTCGAAAATATATTTTTGAAAGGCGCAAGTTGCTCAAAATCTTCTTTGTAGCACAATGTCGCATAGAATCTTTTTTGTTGCGCAAAGTCGTTCAAAATCTTCTTTGTCGCACAATTCCGAACACAATCTTCTTTGTCGGACAAAGTCGCGCATAATCTTTTGTTGCGCATGGTCACGCAGATTTTTTTTTTCGGTTTTTTTATTCAGTTGCAACATATCTTTTTTATGTCGTACAAAGTCGCTCAGCACCGTTTTAATTGCACAAAGTCGCGCAGAAAACTTTAGATCGCGCAAAGTCGTAAAATAGCTGCATCCCCCAGTCGATCAAGGGAGGTTATCTTGCAAGATCTTGCAAGAATCTTGCAAGATTCTTTTAAAGAGGATGCATCTCTTTAAAAGATCTTGCAAGATTCTTGCAAGATAACCTCCTTTAAAGATAACCTTTTTTGCAAGATCTTTAAATATACAATTTTTTTGGGCAAAAACAGCTTTACACGCGAAGACAACCAAGTAGCATTCGTGGAAGAAGGAAGCAATCTTAGCTACGCATACATACACACAGCCCACTAGGCGGTTGCCCCCCGAGTCGTGCAAAAATTCGCATTACGAGGCTAAACTGTTCACTGGATAGGCGCACAATTTTCTGTCTCTGTGTTTCTGGATTCTAGAGACAATTCTTTAAACATGCTTAAATCTTGTCGGAACGATCAAAAGAAATGAAAGAAGAAAAGAAGAACAAAGGGAGCGTCCTTGATGCGGAATCCGCTTACAAATCACAAACTGCACAGTTTGGCCTCGTAATGACAAATTTTTTTGGCCGCGCAAAGGCTCGCAGAGGTTTTTGTTCTCACCAAGTCAAACAAAAATGTTTGACCGCGGAAGTTCTCAACCTTTTGTTGGGTCGTGCAAATTTTTTGGATTCGTGGCCTTGTCGGCACGAAACCATTGTCGCCTTGTTGTTTTCCTTGTCGCACCTGGTGATTTGTATGGGTACAATTAGGGACACTTATTAAGAATTAGGGACACTTGGTTTCGTGACATTGTGGGGCTCAGGTAGTGATGGTGCCGATCAATCATATGATTGCTGGTTTAAATCGCATATGCGATGCAATTCGCAAGGTGGAGCTCTTGCGAGTAAGTTATAGCCTAATGGGTGCTGGCTATATGCGCTCCTGTCAATCTAATTGATGAACCTTCAGCTTAGGCCTCCGGGTTTATTGACTGGCAAAGTTTTTCCGGTAGAGCAAAGTGGTAATATATCGTTTTTTTTGGACGCTCAAAACCCCAATAGTTTTTCTTGATCGCAGAAAATCAAGCAAGAATGTTTTGGTCGCGGAAAGTCACATGTTTTCACAACACGCGACTTCTCTTTCTTGGGACTCTCTTTGCTCATGCAAAGACGCGCAGAAAAATTTTTGTCCCGCAAAGTCGCAATAAATCTTTTTTGGGACGCTCAAAATTGCAACTTAACTTTTTGGGCCTCGCGAGGTTTGTAACAGTATAATGTTACAGAAATTGGAACTGGACGACGAGCGGTTCATGAAGCACTGTCAGCAACTGGGACGCAAGCTAGTCTCTGCCACTCTGTCAGTGTATCAGGAGTGTCTAGTCAACCTCCTACCCACTCCTGCCAAATCACACTACATATTCAACCTCAGAGACATATCCAGGTGAAAGACATCGGTTTTCTGCAATTACCCCCTTTTGCAAGGTTCCACGAATGGGGGCAAAGTTCACGAATGCGGGGGGGGGGGGGGGGGGGGTTATTCTACATTCTTTTGCTTAAATAGTTGTGGCATTTGGTTTCTATTACAAAGCAAGGTAAAAAGTATTAGGGAATTTTCACACACACTTTTTTTTCGTCGAGGAACTAAACGATTTGCACATATGATACTTTTCTTTCCCTTTTCTCGAGAGTATATGTGTTTTTAGAGTGATGAATGGGCTGTTTCTGGTCAAGAAGGACTCCATATACACTGACACCATCTTCATCAAGTGTTGGGTCCACGAGGTCCTCAGAGTCTTCTACGACAGATTGGTTGACGCCAAGGACTCCACCTGGCTTTTTCAGTGAGTGTAACGTTTGAACTATCGATTTATTTGGGACGTTAGTTAATTAATGGTGATTTCTGCAATTCGCGGAAGGTTTATGAAAGGCTATCAGGCCTGTCTAAGTATAGCCCGTTTATTTTATATACCAGCATTCCAGACTGATTTATTTTCTCGAGCGAAGCTTTTTGTTGCGTTATTGGTCCGATCAATGAAAGTGGCAATGAGCTTTGTATTTGGGCGTTTCCTCACGAAAAACCTGGTGCTATAAATACGTGTCATACGAGGCCCAGTAGTTTATGACAATGAAGTGGTTCCAGTTTTGATTTGGACTTATATCCCCAAGGAGAAGGAATAGACGAGATATGGTTCTCTGGCCGGCTTCCTGAAAAAATATATTCGGTCCGATTTTTGAGCGTTTCTTTCTTCTTTCCTCATTAAGTTCGTTGGTTTTTTGTTACTTCGTTTTGGTCCATTGCAATCTCCAAAATCTGCATAGGAGAATATATTTTTGGTTGATAGCCGAACAAGGTCATTTTTACTATACAAAAATCAAAATCTTTGCCTGAAAACAAAGTTTAAACGTTTTGCGCAAATTTTTGGAAATTTTACTTCCTAAAATTTAGGCGGGCATTCTAAGAGGCTTCTTTTGATATAATTTTCTCATCAACTAACTTAGTAATTTCAGCGTGACTCTTGATTAACTAAATAAAGCCGAAAGGACCAGCTGTGGGGAAAAATGTTCACTGCGAATTTCGAAAATAAATTGCACCATATTAATTCCGGTGAAATTTTAAGCCATTTTTTGTTTTGTTCACTTTTAGTCTAATCTGGACCCACTTTGAGAAAAAAGCCTTTAGAATTTCAAATATTGTTTGTTTGTCCGAATAATTTAAATCAGCACTATATCATCACTCACAAAAGAACCAACACTATGAAGCGGAACTCCCTGCCATTCCCCCCCCCCCCCCCCCCACTCATCATCGAGATAAATAAGCTGGTCCGATATTTTAAAAAACTATTTTTGCTAGCTGATGATTAGACCGCTGGAAGGGATTGAAGGTCTGATTTTGTTTTCTTTAAGCTCAAGAAAAACTCCAGTATGGATAATGCGAATGAATAATGCTCAAAATTTAAGGCGAGAGATGCTTTTTTTCAGGTGGCGCTTGCGGTTTTTTCAATTGTTTTTACTGGGCAATTATTAACAGGAAAATCCGAGAACTGGTCAGCACTATCCTCGAGTTCAACTTCGACGACGTCTTCGCCCACCTCACAGGTATCCCAGTGCCCGACTGGTGTGTGAGTCCGATGCCCAACTACTTCCCCGGCAGTGGGGGCCAGATTAGTAACAAGGGCAGGGAGTCCTCTAACTCGAACCACAAGCAGAAGAACAACATAGGAGGACTGGGCAGAGATGCTTCTGGCTCTAATCTGAAAGTGCCCAACACGGCAGGTATTAGTTTTCAATTTCTTTTTTTCTCTGTTAAATTCAACTGCTAGTGTTATTTACATTCACACAATGATTAATCTAATCTCAATTCCAATATTTAAAATTAGAGAAATTTTGATTGTTCGATTATAAAAAACTTTGAACTAATCGAAAAATTTGAGGCAAATAAGGTTTTTAGAATCTTTTTCTCAAAAGATATCGTATGAAGAAAAAGAATTTGGAAAACAAAATTGAACGCGGCCCACGAAATTTATTAGTTTTTAATTGAATTATAAGCTCATCAATGAATTATGATTTATGTGACGTTAGTCTACACTAAAAAAACAAATGTAATTTAAATGAAGGCTGCTTTTGTGTTGAAAATCATAATCAATAAATGTTGCAGTTTCTCAAGACGAGGACGACTCCTCGGCCGATTCGACACTCAAGTACAACTTCCCTGAAGTGACCGAAGACCATATGGAATCCCTGATGTTCGGAGACTACCTCTACATGGATGCTGACTTCGCAATCATGCCTTATGATGAGATCACCTCGTTTGACCCCTACAAGGCAGCTATTCAACAACAGTTGGTAGAGTATAATCAGCTGATGAATGCCAAGATGGATATTGTCATATTCAGGTCAGTCTTCTTCGAGAGAATTAAAGATAAGATAAGGTCGCTAGGGAAGGGGGAGGGTGTGTAGGGAATTCGACACGCTCACCACTAAAAAACGCGGCCTCTTTAGTAACTTTTTACATCTATGCTCAGCCAACTAACCCTTACGTTTTGCCAAAGGCGGCTTTGACACCAAAATATAATTATTTTGAGGAAAGGGGGGCGAAAAAAGATGTTCGACTAACTTTGTTATTTCAAAAAAAACATCAGACTGATTTAAAAAGGTAATATTTTTTTTTTCGCGTAATAAATTGGACATCAAAACATACATTACTCATTTGCGAATCAAAAAGAAATGATTATTGTTTCCGTTTATTATTTGACCGAATCCTCCACTTTCCAACTATCTGTTCAGCTTATCATATTCCACTCCTGTAGGTACTTTGTGCAGCACGTGTGTCGTCTGTCTCGTATCCTCCGACAGCCTATGGGTCATGGTCTGTTAGTGGGAGTGAGCGGGAGTGGGAGACACTCCAGTGCACAGCTGAGTGCATTCATGCTGCAAGTGAAGACATTCAAGCCACAGATCACCAAGAAGTACAATCTAGACAACTGGAGGGACGACATCAAGGTGAAATAAGATGTCAAAGGTCACACTTCAATTTCACAAACAAACAAAACAACTCTTAGAGTTAACTTAGAGTTAAGCAGACCGATAATTTTTGCTTATTCATAGCTCCTTAGCTCTCCTGTAAAAATGATTATTTAAGAACGTTTAGAAAATTTCGATCTACTCAACAAACCCCCCATTCAAGAAGGGCGTGGTTGGGTAATTAGATTAATCGAATTTTCAACAAATCAGAATGTAGCAAAACTAGAATCTCAACAAAATGTCTAGTGGTGAATACAGTTTTTTTAGAGTTGTGGAGGTTCTTTAGTAGATACCATAGTGGAAGGGGGTGGGGGTTGTAAAAAAGATCCGAACACATTTATGATTGGCCAGTAAGAAATGGCTGTTATGCCAAAGGTGGAGGACCCTTTGAAAAAACTGGCTACTGCTCTTGATCAAAATTTCTATTACCCGTTCTATGTATACACGTTCAAGTGGAAACTTAATTTGCAAAATGTCGGATTTTAATTATAATTTTTTTGTGTCCTAGTTGGCCATGAGAACAGCAGGTGCACTAGAGGAGCCCTCGATGTTCCTCATCTCAGACACGCAGATAGTGAATGAGTCATTCCTGGAGGACATAGAGTCCCTTCTCAACACGGGCGAGATCCCCAACCTGTTCCCGCCAGACGAGAAACACGAAATAGTCGAACTAGGTAAAGTACCTGAATCATTCATCGACTCATTAATCGAACAACACTAATCGAGTCTGGCGAAAGTAACAAAATGTTTCGGGTGATGAGTGGTGAAGCGGTGTCGTCTCCTCTTATCAGTCGAAAGGTAGGATGTTTGAGACCCACCATGATCACTGCTCGTTGCTGGGGTTGAGGCAACATTAAGCACCTCAGAAAAGTGAATGAGTCATTCCAAAAAATTGCATGTAGATCTAATACTGGGGCACAATAGTGGTTCTCCGCCAAGGGCTCAACATGTTGGTCCTTTCCCTCGTGGAGAAATTTTCATAACTATTTTAAGGATTTTTTGAATATATCGGCGTTCGAAAAAAAGTTACAAACGAATATTTTTCTTACAGATGTGAAAAATATTTTCTGTTGAGAAAGTATGGTTTCAGTTCGTGACAGAGCGCAGCAAGGCAATAAGCAAGCTGACTTCACGACCAATGAGCTGTTCACCTTTTTCGTGTCACGTGTGAAGGCACTGCTGCATATTGTTGTCGCATTCAGCCCAATCGGTGATGCGTTCCGAAACCGCCTGAGGAAATTTCCATCGTTGATATCTTGCTGTACCATTAATTGGTTCAAGGTCAGTTGTTAATGCAGCAATATATCAGAAAATTTGGTCGGTAGTTGAGCTAATGTTGCTTGCTTCTTATCTCAGTTATATTATTTCACTATTGTTTGTAGCCTTATTTTCAATTTTTATCTGATTTTATTTCAATGATTGCGTGTTTAACAATTTTTTGCAACTGCATTTTTTGTAAGCCACGAAAAATTTTGTTGAGCCACGAAATCAGCACTCGAATTTGAGTCACTGGAAAATCCAAAACACTTTCAGAAACAAATACAAATTGATTTCGGAAAGTTAAAAAAACAACGCAGGTGTTTCTGTAACATAAATCAAGGAGCGTTATATTTGGTCATGAGGCTTTTAGCTGCCGTTGTCTTATTTCAGGAGTGGCCCCAAGAGGCGCTGGAGAAAGTGTCCCACTCCTTGCTGAGTGATGCCAAGTTGGAGGAGGCTTACAAGACCAACATCACCCCCCTCTGTCTCAGCTTCCACCTCTCCGCATCACAACTGTCCAACAGGTGCGGATATTGCCCTGATACAGATTTCATCATTCAAAGTAATTAAACACTGGCTTAAAAACTAGAATCAGTTCGATAGTTGGATATTCTCAATATTTCCTAGTTTTTCTTTGACAAACCTAATTCTAAAGAATCTTGGCTTTCAAAATCATCCTTACTGTTATTTTAGAAGTTAAAAAGTTTGGAGCCCGTAGTATTTTAAACCAGAGCTCGCAAATCAAAAACGCTTGCCATCTGATTGGTTCTGTTTTAGGCTGTACGCTGAGTTCAATCGTCGCAACTACGTCACTCCAAGCTCTTTTCTTCAGTTTGTACTCTCCTTCAAAGAACTCCTCGCCAAGAAACGAGAAGAGGTTTCGAAGGCCAAAAGACGCTACGAAGTTGGACTTGAGAAACTTGCATTTGCGTCGTCTCAGGTAAAAACAAAAACGATTTTTGCAAGACTGATTGTTTACCTTGGGAGTTATTTTGACAGTCAAACTCAAAAAAAAATCCAAGAGTTTCCTAACAAAAAAAGGCACAAATGATAATAGAGCAAAATATATATATATATATATATATATATATATATATATATATATATATATATATATATATCAGGACATCTGAATATGTAGAAAAAAACTTATTTAGGTAGCCGAAATGGAAAAGAATCTCAAGGATCTCCAACCGAAACTCCTCGAAACCACCAAAGAAGCCACAAAAATGGCTGAAACAACAATGAAGGAGAGTAAAAGAGTGCAAAACAAGCGAGAAATGGTCACTAGAGAAGAAGCTATTGCGAACGAATACGCAGAAGCAGCACAGGATCTGAAAACTGAATGTGAAGCCGATCTAGCCGAGGCGATTCCCATACTTGAAGAAGCCACTAGATGCCTGGACATCTTAAAACCCTCGGATATTACCATTCTAAAGAGCATGAAGAGTCCACCTCTTGGGGTTAAGTTAGTCTTGGAGGCAATTTGTGTTTTGAAAGATATCCCGCCTGAAAAGATCAATGACCCCGACGGAGGAACTGCAAAGATCAACAGTTACTGGGGTCCCTCTAAGAAACTGCTGGGAGACCTGAACTTCTTGACGACTCTGAAGTCGTTTGATAAGGATAATGTGAATGCGGCTGCTATGGACAAGATAAGAAAGGAGTACATGACTAATCCTGATTTTGCACCTGAAGTTGTGGCGAAGTCTTCCTCGGCCGCTCAGGGTCTCTGCAGATGGGTAAGAAAAATCTGAACAACTGCATACTGTTTTTGTTCAAAACGCTTACTTTTTAATGGCTGACTTATTTAAATAGAACATACACACTGTGCATTTGGTGAAACTATTCGAAGCAGTTCTTATTGATAATAAGATTCAGGGGATAATATGATTCTTATTGATAATATGATTCGACCAAGTTGAGTTCCTAGCGCTCCCAGAACACAATAGAAATCGTATTTTGAACAAAAACTAAGCGCCGCATGCAAATTTTTAAAAAATCGGGTCAAAAACGCCGTCTTGGACACTTTTTGTAAAATTTTGACCAGAAAAGTGTGTTTTTTTTGGCGCGCGCTCCCCTTTAAAATTAAGTGTATATTGGCGCCAAAAGATCCTCTTGAAAAATTTTAGGGTTGGTCCACCTAAAAGGAATGTCAAAAATAATAGCAAAGGGGGAACCCTTTGGTTGGCGAGGAGGTCGAATCCCTTATGCATTTCACTGTATAATTTTTTTTATATTAAACGTCAATAAGTGACATTCAACTTAAAGCTAATTAATGAAATGAGGTCTCGTAATGACTTTAAATGCTGCTTCCCTCCAACAGGTAATGGCGATTGAGATGTACGAGCGCATTTCCAAACTAGTCGCCCCAAAGAAGATGAAGTTAGCCCAATCAGAAGGAGACCTCGCGGCCTGTATGTCCTCTCTGAACGCCAAGAGGAACGAGCTGAAACTGGTACAGGATAAACTGACTGCTCTTCAAGATCAACTGAAGATGACAGAGGAGAGGAAGATATCACTGGAGAAGGAGGTGGATCTGTGTGCCAAGAAACTAAGCAGGGCTGATAAGCTGATTTCTGGATTAGGCGGCGAAAAGGACAGGTACGGAGGGAGTATCCACTGGATCCACCATTGAATTTTTTATTGGTGCAAAAGTTACAGGTTTTTCTGAAGATCGTTCAGCTGTGACCAATGAAAGCTATTTCGATTCCAGTGTGCTCAGCAACGTGATGTAAGTAGGATGAGGATGGGGAGGGTTGAGGGGAGGGGGAGGGGGAGGGGCATGGGGAGGGGAGAGGGGAGAGGGGAGAGGGGAGAGGGGAGGAAGGGGGAGAGACCAGCTCGTATCACGTATCCAATAAAAACAGTTTCGTTCCTGATGATTTGCTTTTAAAAACAAAAGATTGCGCGTTTTCGTGAACCCAGGATGATTTACGGAGAAAAATAGTGTGAATTGATGTTTTAGATGGACCAAAGCAGCCAAGGGATACCACGGCACTTTCGTCAACCTCCCCGGCGACGTCCTGTTGTCAGCCGGAATCATCAACTACCTGGGTCCCTTCCCAGCCGCCCTCAGACAGGAAAGCGTGGACAACTGGCAGCTGGAGTGCAGGGGATACGGCATCCCGTGCTCCACTAATTTTGAGTTGAAGAGTGCTCTCGGGAATCCAATCACAATCAGATCGTGGAACATTCATGGATTGCCGAGCGATAATTTCTCCGTGCAGAATGGAGTTATTGTAACTAACAGTCGACGATGGTACTTCATTTCAAAATTTTGAAAATCAAATTTATTGTCTGACAACTTCCTCCGGAGTGTTAACGAAAAGCATTTTGCGAATTGAGGTATCACTAAAAAATTTTGCTTTGGGTGAAGTGATGTAGTATTTCAAGCGTCATACAAGTTGCATAAAAACTTTGGGAAAGATTTCCCGGAGTGTGAAGTGATGAAATTTTTTTTATATTTTGTTTATTCCTGTAGTGTAGATTGGCGATGTGCGATTGACTATTCGGAGATGAAAGAAAAATGTTCTTTAAGTAAAACCAGAGCCAATGCTCAAGTGATATTAGGTTATAATTTATTGAGGCTTTAGATAAACATTTCATAAAGCTGAAAGTTTTTGGTCTGATTTTAAAAGCTAAAATTGGTAAAAGACACCACAACAAAAAGTTTTTAAAAAAGATTTTCGACCACTGCATAATATCAGTATCGGCTTGTCTTTCTTTCTAAATACTCACTCTCTTTTTCATCTTGTACTCCCCCTCGTTTTTACAGGCCCCTGATGATAGACCCCCAGTCACAGGCGAACACGTGGATCCGCAGTTTGGAGGAAGAGAACAAACTGGTGGTGCTGAAGCTGAACGACAGTGACTTCGTGCTCCAACTGGAGACAGCTGTGAGGAATGGAGTGCCAGTGTTGCTGGAGAACATAGAGGAGACACTGGACGCCTCCTTTGATTTCCTACTCGGAAAGATCACATTCAAACACAGTACGCTCAGTATTACGATGAGCTAAACTAAATTTTTATTCAACCTTTTTGATCGCAGTTTTTCATTTCCCGTCTGTTGCTTAAAAACATTTTGCTAAACTAAATGAGATTTTATACGAAATAGTCTTTTGAAAAAAATTCCGCCGAATTTGGTGAGATGCAAATTGGATAAAATACAATAAAACTTTCTGAGTTTATGGAAAAATCATTAGTTTCAAGTTCTCGTCATTCAAGATTCTTTTACCATTAGTGGTTTTGTTTTCTGGAGATATACCGACCGTGTTCCTCTTCAGGTGGCATAGAGTGCACTAAGTTGGGAGACAGTATCATCGAGTACAACAGTGACTTCCGCTTCTACATCACCACTAAGCTGAGGAACCCCCACTACCTGCCCCAGATATCCACCAAAGTCTGCCTCATCAACTTCATGATCACACCCAGCGGACTACAGGTCAATACAGCATACATGCACCACAGAATTCCACGTATTTTAGCGTACCTCTTTTGATCTCAGTACCTTTTACCCTGATTTTTGATGCCCCATTACTTCGTTCTTATTTTCCTTTGCTGAGAGGGGTTATAATTAATCTGGTATTTCCGAGCTATTTTTCGGCCGGAAAAATTAATTTAGAACTCTTATTTGAATATATAAGCTAGTTCTCTCGCAGGAACAATTCAGAGAAACTTATCTCGCTCGATTTCTTTATTTTAAGTTATCTCGCGTTTGCTTTTCTAAATAATCACTGGGTTGTTACAATGTTCGCGTATCCATTGCGATGAAAAAATCAGCATCTGCCTTAAAATATAACCTCATGTTCTAGGATCAACTCCTGGGAATCACAGTTGCCAAAGAACGTCCAGACCTGGAGGACGCCAGACAGTCGCTGCTAATCCAGAGTGCAGACAACAAGAAACAGCTGAAGGAGATAGAGGACAAGATACTGGAGACACTCTCCTCCTCCAAAGGGAATATTCTAGAAGATGAGAGTGCAGTGCAGATACTTGATAGTTCGAAGGTCCTCGCTAATGATATCCAGAAGAAACAGCTGGTGAGTTAAAGAGTTTTTATTAATACTTCATGGAAAGACCAGGGTTTATAATTCTTTGCCAGCAATAAAAACTGGATATTTATACAATGTTCAGCTTTATTTCGAAAAACTCATAAAAGTTAATTAATGCATTGGTGTAAGAATTCGGGCGTTTCACAACGGTTGGTGTAAGAACGTCATAAATGCAATAAAAATGTTCAATTTCACTTTTAAACCCTTGTTTGTAGCTAAATCATCAATGATCTCCAAAACTTTTCCGATCAAATTCATGAACGAAATAAAATAAAAGTATTATTTTCTTAGCTTTTTCCCCAAACAAAATGATTCAAGACAGCAGAATCTGCAGGAGATTGAATAAGTTTTCGAAGTGTGAACTTATCCTTTTAGACAGCAGAAGAGACGCAGGAGAAGATAGAAGAGGCAAGACAGGGCTACCACAGCATATCTCTACACGCCTCTATCCTCTACTTCGCCATAGAGGACCTGCCCAACATCAACCCCATGTACCAGTTCAGCCTCGCATGGTTCATACATCTCTTCATTCAGGTAAGTAATCTATTTTATAGACTTCTCTGTTTATTTATGGAAAAGTTGATTTAATAAGATGATGAATACGATGTTTTAACAACATTTTTTTTTGATCCTGTAAAAATCCTCTAACAGAGAATTTGTTAATCGAAAGTTTTCAAAAGAAAGATTGTTTCTAAAACTTACTGACTAACTTTGGCGGCAAGTCAATCGTTTGATTTGTTTTGACCGTGGACTCCAGAGACATTGTCCATGGATTTAGCTTAATTTGTATTGGAATTCGCGGAATTTCAAAAAATTGCCGTTATTTGTTGTTGCAGTGCATAGGAGAGAGCAACAAGAGCAAGATACTGGAGAAGAGGCTGAGGTACCTGTCGGACCACTTCACTTACACTCTGTATCTGAGTGTATCCAGGTCTCTCTTCGATAGACATCGACTCATTTTCTCATTCTGTCTCTGCTCCAATGTACTTCTGTGAGTTAACTAAATCGAACTGTTTTGCTAATTATTTGGAAATCTTTGCTTTTTAGCATTAATTTAATGCAGAAACATTATAAAATATTATTCTAATTATAGATAAAACCAGTAAAAATTTAGCCTCGTGAGTTTTGAAGTTTTAATCAAAATTCTAACATCAAATCGAATTCTGCGACAGATTTAAATTAAACTTCGGTGATTGTTCAGGTCACGTGAGGAAGTGGACAGGAGTGAGTTTGGCTTCTTCATAAACACAGACGGACACCAGTCGGCGGCCGCAGTGGGGGAGAATGGTCTGGGAAAGAAGAGTAAAGAGGAGGACAACAACCCGGCAGAGGAGTGGCTGCCGAAACAGTCTTGGGAACAGATTGTACTCATGGCAGACACACTTGAGAAGTTCAAAGATATCAAGTATGAATGACTAGCACCGCTTTTCTTATTAAAAAATGCGGTTCCAGAAATGTATTTATTATAACTCCTCTTTCTCGATGCACTTTTTTTTTCAATCCGAATGAAATAGTTTAAAAAATATCAAAAACTTAATTCGTTTTCAAAGTTTAATTGAAGTTTTTTTCGACTATTGTCAATTAAAAATAAATTAAGTAGGGGTATGGCAAAATAACAAAATTAATACAATTAAAACTTTCTTGAATAGCGAGCATTCTTCTACTTTTTTTTTGATTCTCGAGAATACCCAAATGATAGATGAAAAACACTTAAACTTAAATTTTATTTTTGAAAATCCAAAACTTGTCAATTGCCATTGATAAAGATAGTTTAAAACATTTATTACAAGGATGCATACATGCATCTACATGTACCAAAAAATGCGATCATTAAAAAACAGACGATGATGGAACAATATGAAAGATATCTTTGGGTAATGCATTTTTGTTCAGGTTAATTCCATCTCCGATAATTGCAAAGGTGTTGATATCTTTAGGTCAAGCTTTAGGGATTCACTTGAAGCGTGGCGTGTGTTCTTCCACAAGACAGAGCTGGATAGTGGCGATATCCCCTCTCCCTGGATCCAGACCCTGGACCAGTTCCAACAGCTACTTCTGTTCAGAGTAGTCAGACCAGACCAGGTAAGATGATAACACCTACACCTACACCTAAAGCTGGAGATGTCAGCATCTCACGCAGAACTCAAAAGTCTCTAGCCGAAAACAATTGATGTTGCGTCACAAGATATAAACATATTATATCTTTGCTCTCTAACATCATTGGATTTAAATGATATCAAGCAATGATTCATAAACATGGAACTTCAAAAAACTTCAAGATAACACCTCAAGATTTTTGTATTGGCAATTAGAAATTTACAGAATCGTATAAAAAATACTGCTTGCACCAGCTACCGACCCTATTAACTTTTAAACTGCTATCCGCTCTTGCAAATTTTCACCCAAATGTCATCGTTTCAGCTGGTGAATCAAGTGCGTAAGTTCATCTCTGAGAAGTTGGGCAGGAACTTCGTGAGCAGTCCCCCTCTGGACATCAAGAAGTGCTACCAGGAGTCGAGCAACACCAAGCCACTCGTGTTCATACTGTCCCCGGGATCAGACCCCATGTCCGGTAAGATATCAATCAGCTAGGGATATATTTATGCTTGTGGGATATATTTATGCCCAACAAAAAATAAGATATCAGATTCAGAGTAAAAAAAAACCAGTAATTTTTAAGTAACGTTTAGTAGATATCTAATAAAGAAACTGGACAATTACTTGTCATCAAACTTTTTTTACCAATAAATTTTCAATCCATATTTTTTTGTTCATCTGATAGAACTAACATGAGGCGAACGTAATATGACTTAATCAAAATAATGATTTTGTAGATTAGCTTGTAGTTTCAAATTTATCATTGAACTGAAAACTTTGCCTTACACGTTGCGGTGGGCTCAATGCTTAGCCTCGAGTAGCAAATCTGTGAACTTTTGTCACATGTCTAGCTTACACTCCTGTAGAGCTAAAATCAACAGAGATTTTTCTGCGCTTTGTAAGTAATGAAGTACTTCCTAATGACTTGACCATGCCCTAACATGCAGCCCTGAGTAAGTTCGCGGAAGACATGGGATTCTTCGGCAGCATGTTTAACTCTATCTCCCTCGGCCAGGGCCAGGGAGTGCACGCAGAGAGTCTGATCTACAGGGGAAGGGATAGAGGGATGTGGGTGGTGCTCCAGAACTGCCACTTGGCTCTCTCTTGGATGCCCACTTTGGAGAAACTGGTAGACAGTTTGTCTGCCACACCCACACATGCTGATTTCAGGTGGAAAAAGGGGGGGGGGGGCTGAGCTGGGTTCGATGGTCATTGTAGAGGTCATAATCTAGCTTTTGATCAAAGAACGAATATAAGGAGTCATGCTTAGGTCTAATTTTGAATATAGTTTTAGGAGTCATCATTGTTGCACCCCATTTTGAGTGAAGTAGTTTTGATCGATATTATGAGGAGAAACCTGCATGCCCCTCGCCTTACTGCAACGTTCCGCCTTCATACATTGTTTTGATATCTGACATGAAGGGTAACTATTTAGTTTTAAACACTGTTTGTCCTCGTACCCTAACCTTGTGCATAACCTTGTAAACTTACTCATAAAACGTATAACTCATATGTTTTTTTTTGAGGCAAGGAAGGGACAGGGTAAGACCCGTGGGAGGAAGTTAAGTCGGATCACTCATCAAGTTTTGCAGATCAATCATGATTTTAATGATTATGACCCTTAATGTTGTACGAACCATAAAAATAGCATTTTACGGGCCATTATAATTTGTGTTTAGGTACGGAAAAAACATCATAAATTTTGTGGAAGAGCTCGTAACGTGTAATATTGATCGTACTTTGGAGGATTCCTGTCAATCAAAAGTATTTTCAATTAATTATGAATCGCACAAAAATTATTTAAATCTTTTCTGATTCATATTTTCAAACTTCATTCAAGTGAGTTTTATCAAAGTTGTTTTTGCTGAGACTCACATGTTCGAGAACCAGATATTCTTCGGAATCTTTGAGAGTCGAAAATGTTGAATTTCTTTCAGACTGTGGCTGACGAGTTATCCCTCTGGTCGCTTCCCAGTGACAGTACTCCAAGACAGTGTGAAGATGACGAGTGAGTTGGCAGCCGGACTGAAGAGTGGCATCCTCCAGGCCTATCTGGATGACCCCGTCTGTGACCCCACATTCTTCGACATCAGCCACGAGTTAGGCGAAGGAACCAGCAACGAACAAATGCAGATGGTAACTATTTGGCTCAACAAATTATAAATGTCCTCCATAAAAAATACCTGACAAAATTCCTTACAATGCCATAGTGTGTCCTTTCTAATTTTTTTTGCAAATTTCGTGAAAATGCTGGAAAAAGTTGTCGCGGAATCCACAACCACGCTTTTTAGCGCTTTAATGAACTTTCCCTGCATTTTGTGCTGAAGAAGATACTACAGTGCCGAAATAAAACAACCGGATAAAATGAACTAAAACTGAATTTTCCAACTGTTTTTTTTTTAATATCAGTAGCAGGGGCGGATCTAGGATTTTCTCGAGGGGGGGGGGGGGGCGAATTTTAAAAAAATTTCCGAAAATTTTGACGACTTTTTTTTAGGTCGAGCAAATTGAAATTCCGAGCTCTCCTAAAGCAGTAAAAAGACCCTGTTGTGGCCAAGTTTTCTGCGCCGCAGGCAAATTTTTGCAAAAAACAGGTCAACAAAGCCGTTTTTGGGCACTTTTTGGAAAATGTTGACAAAAAATCGCGTTTTTTTTGCGCGCGCTCCCCCTGAAAGTAGTATATATTGGCGCCTAAGGCGCCTTAGAAAAACTTTAGGGTCGGTCGGCCAAAAATGGATTTCTTAAAAAGTATCAAAGGGGGGACGCTTTGGGTTGGCAGGGGGTCAAATCCCTGAGGAAGGCCGTCCGCACCCCCCCCCCCCCCGCCTCCTCCTAAATCCGCCCCTGATCAGTAGTATTTAACAAAAAAATGATTTTTTACCAACTTTTTTTATGGTGCATTTTTTTGCAAGTTTTTGAACCAAAATTACATCCTTAAAACGGGTCAAATCATTTTGATCAAATGTGAGGAGTTCAAAATGTCAATTGATATTAGAATAACTACAATTTAGACTGCGTACCTCCTCAGTTTTGAAAAATTTGAATTGACCGTTTTAAGGGTGTTTTTTTTTGTTCAAAAACTTGCAAAAAATTTGCATCATAAAAACGCTGGTAAAAATCCAAGCATATTTTGTCCTTGTCTTTTTTTGGCCAAATACTACTGATATTGAGAAAAAACCAGTTTGAAAATTCAGTTTTAGTTCATTTCATCCGTATATTTCAATTCGGCACTAAAGTATTTTGTTCAGCACAAAATGCAGGGAAAATTTATTAAACCGCAACAAAAAGCGTGTGCACAAGTTGTTGAATAAAATCCTTGACTCATTGGCACAAACTGGCTATATCTTGGGCAGGTTTTCCCGAACAGTTTTTTCGTAGGGTGATTCATTGCAAAACGGAATGGTGTAATACTTATTACAGCTACCTGAAACACCCTGTAGATAATCATTATTCACAAATTTATGAAAAACCTGTAACTTAAATGCAAAATTTGTCCAGAGATAAAAACAAGACTGCTTGTATTAGAACATATCTTTGAAAATTCAAATGGCCATCGTTAGAGTATTTTAGGTAGCTTTAGGTGGATAAGTTTCAGTAAAACCTACACTTATAAAGTTTTCATTCAAAAAATTCATGAAAAAGATTTGTATTTTTTTGGATAATTATCCTCATACCTTTAGTTGTAAAACCAAAGTGACTCATAATTTCTAGTACGTGTTGTTTGGACTATAGTTTGACTCAATTCAGTTTAGTCTGTTTCCTGAGCAGGTTTAAGTTGCCGCCTATGCCAGGCGTCAAAAAGAAACTGGTGATGAGCACTCAGTGATTATCTCAAACATGGCAATTGGCAGCTTGAGCTATACGCCCCCACCCCCCACTCTCCCCCCACCCACCAATTTTTCCAAATCTGATCGCAGGTGAAATATCTTTTTGATTTTGAACACAGAAAACAAATAAGTTTTTTCCGATGTTAGAAAAAAGTAAAAAGTCATAAAAGTAAAAACCAGCTGAGGGCAAATATTTATCGCTTTCGTGTGATGTTGCAACAAAAACCATCCGATCACAAATGTGTTGTCGCTTTCTTCGAAATCCTTGATTTGTATTCTATGAAAATTTTCGCATGTTTTCCTTTTACTTGGATAATTTTTGTTCCTTTCAGGCCTGGGAACGACTTCTGTTGAGTCTCTGCTTCTTCCACGCGGTTGTGTCCGAGAGGAAGAGCTACGGCCCCATTGGCTGGAACATTCCTTACAGCTTCAACCAATCAGACCTCAAGATTTCAATCCACCAGTTGCGAGTCAGTTCCATTTTTCCACTTTCTTCGCTAACAGTTTCGCATGCGTTGATAAAAATCATGTCCATTTATATCTTTGTGAAGTTTCAAGACTCTTTGAGAGTTTTTTTTGCATCGCATCTGACAAAAAACCGATCTTGTGATTAATTTTTGATACCTCATTCTGCATTTGTTTCAGGAGTTCATAATTGAGTACAAAACTGTGCCCTATGAAGCCCTGACGTACCTGGTGGGGGAGAGTAACTACGGTGGGAAAGTGACAGATCAGCGAGACCGACGATGTCTGTTGTCTATTCTGGATTCATACCTCAGTCCGTCTGTGTTGGATTCGAATTACAAATTCGGAAATGTGGCTACTTTTGGGACCAAGTTGTCCTATAACGAGTATCTCACTGCTATTAAGGTCAGCTTTCAGTGTTTCGAAGCAAGTGAAATCTAATCAGACAAATTAATATTTTGAACACCGCGGTTTTGAATTCCGGCGCTGCCAAAGTTTTCCACCTGGAAATGAAAATTGCGAAATTTCATTAATTCTTATTTGATTTTGCTGAAACACTCTTACGCCCTGCAATGGGTCTGAAACGAGGTTTAGAAATTTAACAAAAAATGTTGTGCGATTGTTATAATCAAGGAAAAATATTTTTTTCCAGGCCCTTCCCGACTCCCAGTCGGCCTCCATGTTCGAACTGCACGAGAACGCGGACATATCCAGGGACCTGAAGGAGACCAAATCTCTAGTTGAGAACATCAAACTGGTGTATGGCAACCAGATGAAGAATGTAGACAGCAGCAGCAGCAGCAGCAGCAGCAGCAGTAGTAGTAAAAAGAGCAGTGACAGTGCGAACAAGTCGGAGGAGAGGTCCAGTGGGGGTCAGAGGGAGGATCCAAGTGTCACCATGTGCAACAATGTACTTGAAAAGGTGAAGTGTTTTCATTAATAATTGCAATAACTGTCTGATTTGAGAGACGACAAGTTTGAACTGAACCCTCGAATCATTGGGGCAATTTTTCCTTGAAATAAAAATTGTATATTTGCCAGGTCACCGTTTTAAGCGTTTTTTGAATGGAAAAATTGTTCAATTAAAATCTGAGATTATTATGATTATGAGTTGCTACATAGGGTTAAGGGCGGGCCTCGAACGACTCATCAAATTTCTGATAATGAGGCAGTTCATAAAATGCTTCGGACCTGCTCGCCAAGCGATATGTTAAGTGCAATTTCGTAATTAAAATTTAGAGTAATCAAGGATAGCGATTGCTGTCTAAGTAGCACAAACTGTCCTAAATACAACGATTTAAGAAAACAAATTCAAAAATAAAGAAAAGTATTTCAGAAAGGGTGAAAAAGTTATGCGAGACAGTGGTAGCTAAAATAACGTTAAAAGTTTAGTAGAATATAATCTGAAGGTCAGTCCCTGATCCAAATGTCTAATTTGGTCTGAAAACGCGAAAACGCCCAGCTCAGTTTTTCTCGACAACTTTTTTGAAGTTTTTAAGGAGTCCGAGTCACGACTGGAAGGGCTTTAATATGATATCACACTGAATCCCCTGGAAGCTATCTTTGAGATAATTAAAAATGCGTCGTAATAAACACGACCTATATGCCATAGTTTTTTCGTGAAGTGGTCGGAACAATTAGAAAATATGAATTGGCTGCTCACTTCTTGATAATTTTTGAGGTCAAATATGTATGAAGTTGACAATGAAGTGTTTTATTTTTGCGTTGCTGCTTTTGAGGCTCGCTCAGAATTGTTACTTGTAATTTCAGCTGCTGCCGCTGTTCGACATGAAGGTGGCCAAGGATAAGTACCCTGTAAAGTACAGTGACAGCATGAACACAGTCCTGGTGCAGGAGCTGCAGAGATACAACAAGTAGGAATTCATGCTAGAGGAACTACTTCATTAACCACATCTCTTAAACTCAATGCACTCCCATGCTCGAAATGAAAAGCATGTCAAGAAATTTGACAAAAATAAATAAAACGATTGAAAGGCCTCTTAGTATATGCTTTTGCTAAATGATTTTAACATTTTTTGAATATGCTTAATGATTTTAGCACTTTTTGATCTGCTAAGTGAGGAAGATTTAAAATCGGAATTTACAATTAGTCGATGGTATTAAAAGATTTGATTGAAGTTAGTGTAAATTGATTTAGCCTCAAAAGTCAGATCCGGTCCAGTCTTGACAGTCTTATGCGGGCCTCCAAGGGTCTAATCATCCTCTCCCCAGACCTGGAAGATCTCTCGAAGTCAGTGAAGGCCAACAGGATCCCGCAAATGTGGATGGTCAAGTCCTATCCCTCCCTTAAGTCGCTGTCCAATTACATTGTGGACTTGAGAGAAAGGCTGTTGTTTTTTCAAGTGAGTTTCCAAACAATCATGTGTATTGAAATTCATTTGTTCAGTTATAATTGAAGCACTAAATAGTTAGGTTTTTTTGAGACGAAGCTTCATTTGGATAAGAATTAGAACAGTAAGATTCCTGAACCATTTTCATGTTTTCATTTCTCAATTACACTACTCAATTACACTTTCTCAATTACACATTTTTTAAATTAAACATTGTTTGGGATTTTAATTGACTTATTGGAAACAATTTCTCAAAAATTGCGGCAAAATAGCAAGAAAATTGCTTCAAAAACCCGATCTTTTCTCTCAAATGGTGGAATACATTGCTTCATTGTAATTGCTGAGTTATTTTATCTATGAAATTGTACAAATCTTACTTCAAGCTTAGAGCCAATCGAGTCATATATTAATTACAATCAAGAAAGGATCTGGGACCAAAAAAAAAAACACTATGAAGACCCTATTTTGACCTATTTTTCTGCGCGCAGGCGAACTTCAAAAAATTGGCCGAAAAAGGCGTTTTTCAGCTATTTTTGAAAATTTTTACTAAAAAACAGCGTTTTTCCGGCGCGTGCTCCTTCCTCAAAATTAGTACAAAATGGCACCGATGGCGTCTTTACAAAAATTTTAGGGTCAGTCAGTAATGAATGTCTTAAAATAGAATCAAAGGGCGGGGGGCTTTGGGTAGGCAGAGGGTCGAATTCTCGAGAAGATGGTAGGGGAGGGGGGAGGTATAGAATTGTATTAAAATTGTTATGTCTTCAGAAGTGGCTCGACTGCGGTGCTCCTGCGACGTTCTGGATGCCGGGGTTCTTCTTCACGCAGGCATTTCTGACAGCCTGTATGCAGAACTACGCCAGACAGAACACATGTCCAATCGACAACCTCACTTTCCACTTCGAAGTGACAGAGAGAGACAGTTTCGAGGAGTGTGCTTCAGGTGGCAGTGTGTACGTGAATGGACTGTTTCTAAATGGATGTCAGTGGGACAGAGAAAGGTGATACTGCTAATCAATTTATTGACCAATGAAACAATTGGTTAATTAATTGATAAATGAAATAATTTAATTGATTTTTATTCACGAACGACAGGGTTTTCATACGAACTGAACTGTTCAGACCTTTATGTATAACCGCTGCTGCTTCCTTTGCACTTTTCGGTTTTATTTTTCCCGCTGGTGAAATCTAACACAGATATGAATTATCGAATATTATTTACAAAAGGATGGGTGAGGTTTTGTGTGTTCCATATTTAACTTGATCGAAAAACGCTTGCTTAAAATATGGACACTTCCGTTTTACCACAATCATTTGTCCTTTCGGTTTTCTTTTGAATCCTGATTTGAATATCAAAGTTAGAAGTCTGTGGTTGTCCCGGGAACGTTTTTTTTGCGACAAAAGATCAACTACAAAATAAATTGTGAATAGCTCATCAACCTACCTTCCTTGGCCATAAATGCCATTTTTACTTCAGAAAAACGCTGAAAGACTCCGACCCTCGAGTTTTATTCCAAAAGATGCCAGCCATCATTCTTAAACCCAGCAGCAAAATAGTCGGTGAGCGCAGTGACCTCAACACCTCAAGCAGCGGTCGCCACAACTCATACCAATGTCCTCTGTATCGCACCTCAGAACGAAGAGGCGTATTGTCAACCACAGGCCACTCGACCAACTTCCTGTTGATGGTTGACTTACCATCTGAAAGACAACCACACGTCTGGACCAACAGAGGAGTGGCGCTTTTATGCCAGCTGGATGATTAATGTAGATATATTGATATAATATACTTGTATTTTCATCACGAAAATTTTAAAAAATGTTAAATTTGTTTCGCTAAACAATAATTTCAAGAACAAGGTTTTGATTTCAGTGAATAATGAGTTCAGTTTAGTTTTACTTATCTCTGTACTAACACGCATTTGGAATCCCGATTACCATTATTTTTTTGCCGAAGATGGCGTAATCCTAGATTTAATGCATTTTCAAGATTTCAACAGAAAAATATTCACTACCCTTTCATCGGTACAGGAGTAGATTCCTTCTGAACATTTTTCATTGAAAACGGAAAGAAAACAGAGAAACACTACGCTATCATCTTCAACTGCCTGACAACTAGAGCAGTTCATTTAGAGTCTTGCCCAGATTTGAGACACCTTTCTTAATGCACTTGCCCGCTTAACAGGAAGAAGAGGTAACCCTAAAACAAGGTAAAGTGACAATGGGAAGACTTTTTTAGGAGCTAGTATTGAGCTCAAAAAATGCCTCAACGAACTAGATAAGAACAAAATTCAAAGTAAATTGCAGTCATGGAAATTGAAAGGAAATTTGCACCCCATTTTATGGACCTGGAAGCGATTAATCCAGACAGCCAAACGCACAATCTTAATAATTCTTGGCTCTAAAAAACTTATGCTGGACTTTTTCAATACCATTCTCAAAAAGAAACAATGTTAAACTCAAAAACTCAATACCTCTGAAAAACAGTGCCGATATCACAGACCATGAAGAAGCACTCACCCCGAATCATTTTTCAATTCAATGTCTTTTCAGCAACCTACCACCCGGAACTTTTAACGATCAACTAACACTCCATTTTGAAAATTGGTCTCAACAACAATAATAATAACCACATCTGGCGATGACTACAAAATGACAATTTAACGACCCTGTTGAAGTGAACAAAATGGAGCTTCGCAAAACAAAAGCTAAAAAAAGGGGGATTTAGTCTGAATCTTGGAAGATCTGACGCCGCGAGGAATTTGGCATTTGGGACGTGTCACAGCAGCCCATCCTGGAAGAGAATCGTGATCCTAAGGACGGCGTGCGGAACCTCTGACCGCACGGCTAGTGCACTCACACGCGTTTTTTTTGTTCGGTTCGAAGAATACCTCGACTTGAGCCCAACCTGGGCCCAGTTGCATGCTGCTGAAGCAACTTTCCCGCTTTTTGATATATGAATTAAGTCAAAATTGATTCTGAAAGTCGTTATAATTTGTAACATACCAATGTGAAGTCTGAATTGAACACTCGGTAAATTCGTTTATAAGAAAGATTATCATTGTACTACGTTAAAAACCGATGACGGTTTAACCAGGTAACGGTAAAACCCGGTGACGGAAAAACTCGATGACGTTAAAACCCAAAAATTATTCCCTACAATTATTTTAACGTTGTTTTCGCCACCGTGAAAATTTATTAATTTTAAGGGGGTCGGCCGTTAAGGGGTTTTCGCCAAAAAAAAGTTTTTGTTCAAATTTTACAAAAAACCGCAATTTGGTTCAATAATGTAAAATTTTGGGATCTACGTTACAATCTCTCCTCCTTTCAAAAATGAGAGGGAGTTTGGTAAGTATATTAATTCAGCGAGCTTTTCTTTATAGGGGCGGAAATTTTCAGTTGATATCAAAGGGGGAGATTGTTGAGCAGATCCAAAATTTGCTTGCGTTTTACAAAATTTGACCTTAATTTGGCTTTTTTGAGGTGTCAGGAAGAAGTCGTCAAATAAAAATTGTACATGAATTGTTTGAATTGTTATGGCTATAAATTTTTTGGCCCAACATATTTAACATAATTCTTAAAAAAGTGTTACAGCATGTTAAAAGTCGTTTAATTGGCGAACACTCAAACAGTATTTAATGGAGGAGTACTTTCTCGAACTAACTCTGTTGTAGGAGTGATCTGCTCAGTACTACTCGCCATCAAATGTGACAAATTGTACAGATATTAAGTATTTGATTTTAATATCAGAGATTTTTCAACAAAAATGAACTAAATGAAAATTTTACCAAAAATAGCCGGTTGTTGTGCAACGCGCTCCAACCATTTAAAAATAAACTACAAAAAAAAATTAAAAATAAAAACTATTTCCTTTTTTGTGCGTGGTGAATGTTCCGACCATTCAGAATGTTCCGACCATTCAGAATGTTCCGACCATTTTCTTGAAAAACTTCAAAAAAATGGAATAAAAAATTATTCCATTTTTTGTGCGTGGTGTGATGAAAAGATCTGAACGATAGTCTATTTTTCCGATGTTCAAGGTAAAATAATAGCTTAGTGGAAAACATTTTTTTTTGAAAAATCACTAATAAAAAAACAAAAAAATCAGAAAAATTAAATTTTTCTTGCAGATTATTTTTTGAATTTTTCAAAGTCTTTTATTCCCAAGATTGCGTTGAAAAATTTTTAAAAACCATTTTACTAGATTTTTCATAGCTTGAAGAAACAATTTTTGGCTTTTTTATTACTAATCTGCGTCTGCGACAACCCTTCTGTAATATGCCTGCTCGCTCATTTTACTCCCTCGCAGTTAGCTAAAAAGCTAAAACCTCAAACCGGCTTTTCTTGACAATCCCGTGAGCAAATATAGGACTTCAATATATTACATCACTCAACCAAGTCCGATGATTATCTGTGCTACCTAGTTTTGCTTGGAAAAAAAGCTAAATTACACCCGAATACAAAATTCCTCCATATTTTCAATGGTCGGAATAATAAAACGGGCTATAAAATTGGTTAAACTTTTTGACATGAATATCGGCCTGTAAGTCAACTATTGGTGGTTGCAGCTATGCTCTCATTGCGTTTTGTCAAAATGTGATTATTCTTTTTGGTTCCGGTGTTGAAAGAGGCTACGGATTTTTCTCTCAACCATACTTAATTAGAGAGCGCGTAATCATAGCTTAAACATTCAAAATCGACTTTATTTTAACAAGAGTGATGACTAACTTTTCCAAGTTGTTTTCGCAGACTACCCTCTGACAATGTTTTACATCGGACCTAACAGAGTCCCGTGAGCAAATATAGGACTTCAATGGGGCTCATGCCCCATTGAAGTCCTTTTTTCAACACCTCCACCACGCTTGTTTATTCGATTTTTGATAATTATTCTGTCAAATCCCTGATTGTTGTAAATGTCTAATGAGTCCTTTTCTCCTAGTCAAGTTTCACAAATGAAAAACTACTATCCGCAGATCTTTAAAATTGTCGACAGAAAATTTAAAATGGTCTTGATGGCTTCTTATTGCTTGCACGTTCAAAAACAGGATCAGCTCAATGTTTAAAGGTTTAGAGCAGTCTTCCTCTACTTTGTTGTCCGTAAATAACAAAGAAAAAATAATGAAAATTAGTATATGTGGAAATAGTATGTAGTGTGGTGATGACTTTGCTGTTATGAACCTCCCTATAAGCTCAGAAAGTTTATTCAATTTTTCAATGTTTTCATTCTTTCCGTAATTTGATTCACCTAGGGTTCTTCTCGAGTACGTTTTGCATTTGGTCGATTTGAATAGTTCGAACTGATACTTCGATTGGGAAAAATAGTGGCACAATCAGCTGGCAAGGTACTGTTTTTTTTTCGTATAAGCCAACGCCTTGACGAGAACAAACTGGCGTCAATTTTTTGTAATTTTTTACAATGTTTTGAATCTTTTTGATGGTAGATAATAATTTCTATTCTTTTTTACAGTAAATGAAAATGTCACGATCGTGTTCAGAAAGCCGCTCATTAACAAAAAATGGAGGGTCAAAAGCATTGTTTGCAAATAATCTCCTATTTTCCCAAACAACTTCCCTCTGATGATTACACAATATTTTCGCTATTATGGGCCTAGGTTTATATGTTTTTTTTCTGGTAAGTAGCGGCATGCAGCGAAATCGCATGATATCGGTAAAATAATAACATCTCTTACCAGTCCGACAGTTTTATGAACTGCAACCCGAGAAATGTCAATGAACATAAATGATGGGTAGCGCTCGAGAAAGGAAATCCTCTTCTTGGAATTGCCGTTATCTTCCAGCAAACGATCTTCTCCCTGCTTTTTCGTCTTGCTGCTGCATCCACTTCACTATGCTCGTCAAAAAGTTACTGCTAATGCTTTGATGAAGTCCTATTTTAAGTCCCAATATTATGATTCGGTTAACTCGGGCACAGCGACTTCTCTAATTGTTTATTAGACCTGAAGCTTTATAATATTTATATCACAACAATTAGACTGAGGTCAATTCAAGTGCTTGGAGAAACGCAAAGGCAAATTAACTTGGACTACAAACACGCTGTGAAGTTGAGGAATTTATATAACGAAATTCTAATTCAATTAACCCAGCCCCAATTGCCACGTGTTTCTTGCGCTTCAATGTCAAGAAAATAATAAACCTGAGGTTAAAAAGAGTTGAGTTGCACGTGTGGTTTCCTTTGAAAAGAAAATTAGATCTGAAAATACTTTTGTTTTTCTTTCGAGTAAAACTGCTTCATTTTTTTGCCCCAATACTATATCAAATCAAATCAAGCTGACCAGTGAAACTCTGCGCGTGGGAGGCTTCGAAAGTATTTTACCCAGTAGTGGATTTGTGGACTGGTTTGGTGGTAACATTTTGAGAGAACACTCCGACAGATCCCTGTCGGTGGTCGTTTGGGCTCGATTGAAGCCAGATTCAACTGAGCCTTAGAGCGGATTGTTGAGCTTGGTGAGATCAATCCAAATGTTCCCCCAATTTTTTTCTGAGAGAATGCCAAAATTGAAACGGAAAACGTCTAATAAACAGAATGTTATAATTTATTAACTGAAGATCCCGAAAATTTTGCATGTAAACTTAGTGGAAATGAACGCGAGTTTAATTGTCATTCGTGTGACGTTTGCGAAACCTGGTTGCCCGATGAATGTAGCAAATTGCCCAAAGAAGTTCTCCAAAGCTTAGGCAAAGTAAAACATTTTTCCTGGAAATGCGATGAGTGTTTTAGACTATAAAAAATGATAAATTGTAACAATCTTTCGAGAAGATCACAAAC